TCCTAGTTTTCAAAAAAAAAAAAATTAGGAATGAGTTTCGATTTTGTCAAATACTTTTTAAAAATTTATTGAAATTATTGTATATCTATTTTTCATTCCTTGTTCTGTTAATGAAGTAAATTATATTCTTTAATTTTCAAATATTGAGCAAATTTTACATTCCCAAAATAAACTTGTTGGGGTTGTATTGTTCCTGTTACATATGACTGGCTTGCTTTTGTAGAGGACTTTTTTTTTTTGCACAAATGTTTATGAGAAATAGTTGTGCATATATTTTTGTTGTTGTTGTTATCAGAGCTTTTGTTATCAGATATGTTCCATTTGGTTTTGGTATCAGGGTTACGTCTACCTAAGAAATTAGTTGGGAGATTTTTTTCTCCTTTTATTTTCTAACTTGTGAATTTTTAAAAGAATATATTTGTTTTCTAGTTGTACACATTACCTTAATTTTGTTTATTTGTTTTTATGTAGTGCTGAGGATGGAACCCAGGACCTCGCACATGCTAGGCAAGTGGTCTACTGCTGAGCCACAACCCCAGCCCTTAACGTGTGAATATTTGTATCACTTTTTCTTTAAATAAATGAAAGAATTCAATCTGTGAAATCTCTGAGAGTTAGAATTTTATTTCTGTCAAATTTTCAAATTATGGGATGGGATTGTGGCTCAGCAGTAGAGTGCTTGCCTAGCATGTGTAAGGTGCTGGGGTTGATCCTCAGCACCACATAAAAATAAATAATAAAATAAAGCTATTGTGTCCAACTACAACTAAAAAAACCAAAATATTGAAAATATATCTATATCTATGGATACCACCAAAAGATAATTTTTATTTTCTGTCATTTTTCTCAATGATTCTTGCTTGGTATTTATCAGTTTTATTAATCTTTTCAAAAACTTGATTTTTTTCTGTAGTTTATCTGTTTTCTATTGGATTGATTTCTACTCTTTATGATTTCTTTGCCCTATTTACTTTGGATTTTATTTGCTTGTCTTTCCCTAGATTCTTAAGATAGAAACTAAGATCATTGGTTTTAAACTGTCTTCTCTGATGTCAACATGAAGTTATATATTTTCCTGTCAGTACCACTTTGGCTGCAAATTTTAGAATATATTCCTTTCATTGTCATTAAGTTTGAAGAATTTTCCACGTACTTTTGTGATCTTTTTCTTTCACTTGTATTACTGAAGATGGTATTATTTGTCTTTCTAGTATATGGGAATTTCATAGATACCTATTATTAATTATAACATAATTTTGTGTTCAGTAAACATAACTAGTATTTTAAAAATTTGTTGAGTTTATTAGGGAATGGAAATGGTAACATCCCTGAATTGGTCATTACACATTGTATAAATGTACTAAATTATCATTTTGTGCCCCATGAATAACCATAAAATTATCTATTGACTTAAAAATGCAAAGATGGTGAACCTTCCCTACTTATTTGGTTGGATTCTTAACCTTTCTCCCTGATTATACACTAAGGGGAGGAAATCTAGTTCAAGTGTTATAACAATCTGAAACTTGCAAGACAAAGGCTATAGAACAGTGCATGACAGTTGTGCCATATTCCATGAACAAAATGTGCATGTGCGTATGCAGATTCAGGGCTATTTCTCAAAGCAGCAGATGTGGGTTTTCTGGGCATATTCTTCCTTGTCCATCCTGGTAGTATTTCAGGGCCATTTGTTTCTTTTCCTCACAGCACAGATTTTAAGAAATGAAAATTCAGGAAAAAAAGATGCTGGCTAACATAAGAAATAGGAAGATGAGATTTTTGCTGTTTGAATCAAAGAAAGAGTTAGTCACATTAAAATTTTAAATAGTTGTTTGAGCTGGGGATTGAATCCAGGGCCTTGTGCTTGCAAGGTAAGCACTTCATGAACTTATTAACATAAGTTAATAGCTCAGTTGGCAGGAGATCAGGGCACCACTCAATGGGTGGAAGGGAAATAAATTTTAAGGTGCTAATGAAAAAAGACAAAACATTTGTTTCAACTACAAAGCTCTTATTTGCAAGTTAATTGTTGGTGTCTAGTGATTAATCTTGAGTTTCCTTTTTCTGTTTTCATTGAGTTGTGGTTTATTTCAATAGGAAACCACAGTACTGGAGGTGTCTCCAAATTAATTTTCTAAAACAATATGAAGCATGAGTTTTTTGTTTTCCTTTTTCCTGATTTCAGAACTAGATTAGAAGACTTGTTGGTGAAGGCGCCAGCAATGGAGAAAAATGCAGAATTGAAATTTCAGGGCAGAAAATTGTAATTTCATGGGGTGGTTGGACTTAGTTCTGAAAGGGCTGCCATTGTATTGAGGGGGGAGATGACTATATTTATTAGAATCCTGGAGGCATTTGGAAGGCAATGGAGCCCCTAGAAGATTTCCAACGACACAGCACATCTTCTTTTCTTCATTCTTTATCTTTTTCTCTCCTCCTCTTTCTCTTCCCTTTTCTTTCCTCTCCTCCTCCTCCTCCTTCTTCTCCAGGTTCTTCTACTTCACCATTAAAAATAGAGTATTATTTCATAACCCTAACCCTATGATGAATTCTCTGTAAATTCGGAAGGTCTTAAGACAGCAGGTCAAGAGATAGTATTTTGTATTTTAAGTGCTACAATAGGTACCTGTCCTATTTTCTTTTCTGTCTCCCTTTATGGACTTTCACTCTATTTTCCTCAAAGAATTCTCCATGGATTTTATTTGAATTAGAAAAAATTGGAAGACAGTGGTAGTCATATATGACTGAGGTTTTCCCCTTTCCTTTCCTTTTTCTTTCTCTTTTTTAATTTCCTTGTGCTGGGGATTGAATCCAGGGCCTTGTGCTTGCAAAGGTTAGTACTCTATGAACTGAACTATATGAATTGCACCAGCCTCCCCCTCCTTTTTTTATTTCTTACAGAATGAGCTGTGTTTCTGCCACAACAGGGATAGAATATACTTATAAAAAATTAAATACTGGAGAATCTGCCTCAAGGATATTTTGCTGTCACCTTTTATTTAATTACAGCTGTATATGGACTCAATGCCTTTGTTTCTATGTGGTGCTAGGATCAAACCCAGTGCCTCACACTTGCGAGGCAAATGCTCTACCACTGAGCTACAACTCCAGCTTTTGCTGTTGCCTTTTAAAAAATTATTAATTCAAACAGCTATTTTGAATTATTTCTATAATCATAAATGGGGAAATACAATAGCTTTCAAAAGTTTTCTCCAAAAGTAGCTGGGGACTGTATCCACCAGTCTCAGACTTACAAGAGGTAATATGTGGCTGTTGTCATCGTAAAGTTGCTTCATAGTAAGCTGACTTTACTAAGTAGAAATATTTGAGCTGTCCCGTGACCATTGATTATTTTATCAAGGCTACCAGCCCTTGAAGTTCAGAAGTAAAAGAAGAAAATTTGCAGGCTTGCTGCAATAAACTCAGGGCCAGAAAAGTGCTACCTATTGTAGCGCTTAAAATACATAATAGTATCTTTTAACCAGCAAAATATGCCCTTCCCTGTGAAACTATACAGGCACGTCCTTACCATTGACTACATTATTTTTAGATTCATTAATGGGTCTGAGGAGTTTCCAACCATTCAGCTAAATCTGCCAGCAAATTCCTCTGTATTTCAAAGCAAAAATCATTCATGCAAATACTTAAAACACTCAAGTGTGAAGCACAGGTTGACTTCATATCTTCCCAAGGGAATGGCCACGTCTCTACACAGGGAGGTCTATTGAAGGTTTTTTGTTGTTGCTGCTCGTAATGGTGGTGGTTTTGTGATAATGATTATAAGTTTTTGTTCTGTCATTGTATTAATTTTTAACTATTTCTAGGAAATAACTATAGACTAATAGCTTTATTTTAATTCTGCAAGGAGAAAGAACACAAAAATTTTCTGAAGGATTATTTAAAAATTTTTTTATTCCAAAATTTATGGAATGATCATTATCAATTAAGGTTCTTAAATAAATTTATTGTGACTCAATGACATGCATAATGTGTGTTAAACTGTCATCTGTGGCCCACCTGTATCAGAATCATCAGTTTGTTAAACTGTGTCTGCATCAGTATCACCTGGGATACTTACATAAAGAGGCAGATCCTTGATTAGAGTCCCACAACCACTAAAGTGCTTTATACTGCAGCCCAGAGAGTCGCTACAACAATCCCCATAGCCCACTGTGAAACAGACCCCCTTTGAAATGAAAATCTTCAAATTCTTTTTTAATTTTGATCTTTAAACTGATGATGAAGGTTGATGGACTGCCTGGCCCTCTTGGGCACTGCAAAGGGGAACATACACTTTGACACAGGTTCCTGATTAACACAGCCTAGCTAAACACACCCTTGGGTATTTCCTGCCTTTCCCCCACACTGTGTCCTGTTTTTATAAAAGCTTTCCATGCCTCACAGTCATCAAAGATGAAGACAGGTCAAAGAAAATGTTCTTCTCTATCTTGCTCAAACCCAGGATGGAAATAAACCAATTCTCCATTGCCATCCTGACTCCTGAGTTTTAATGCTGCAGAACAAACAGCAAAATATATCCTTCCCTGTGAAATTGTAAAGGCGCATCAGGTTTAAGAATCACTTGTCTTATCTTAGAAATTCTTGAAAAATGGCAAAGAGGAAAAATTGTCATTTTTTACTTAGACCTCAGAATTAGCCAATGAATTTCTTCACGACAATTTTATTTTCTATTCTTTTAAAGATTTTTATCATTTTTTAATTTTAATTTTTAAATTTATTCTAATTAATTATACACGACAGTATTCTACACAAATGGAGCACTTCCTCTGGCTGAAAGTGGTGCAGAGTCAACACCAGTAGTGTAGTCACAAATGTATATAGGGTATTAAAGTCCCTCTCATTCCACAATCCTTCACACCTCCACACGCCTCCCTTTACCACCCTCCCCTCTGTCCAATCCAAGGTTCCTTCATTCCCCCACCCCGCTTTATAGATCAGCATCTGCTTATCAGAGAAAACATTCAGTCTTTGGTTTTTTGGGTTTGGCTTATTTTATTTTCTATTCTTAACACTTGTTCTAGGGACTGGTGTAGAAATGGGAAACAAAGACAAAAAAAAAAAAAAAGAAACTATTTATACAAACTTTGCTTTAAAAGAAAAAAAAGCCACCAAAAGACCATTACAGTTTCACCCTGCCTGCCATGAGTGATGTTGGCCTTCAACATATGGCTACAGCAACATAAATAAACCTCTATCTTACATTTACTCATACCTTCTCACGTCCTAGGAGCACTCTGAAGACACAAAGGAGGCTTCAGTACAATTGGGGCCTGGCCCACACCACTAAGAAACAAGTAGAGGCTGCCGTATGCAAGACTTTGCATAGGCTTGGTGTGGACATCAGCCTCGTATTTCCCCGAGGGATGTTAGGTTAGCAAAATGGCACAGCATACTTAATGTGGAGGAGTGGGGGCAGTAAAATTTGGAGAATGAATGAATAAAGGAAGCAGATTGTGCTAGGCTATAAATGAGAGGGCCTCTTAGCAAGTCATCAATTTCCTTCCTCACATGGACTCAAAGAGGTCAGACCTGATGGTGCAGTGCAAAGTCCAGCCTGGCTTGGCCTAGAGGAGCTACCTGGTCAGGTGTGGATCTGTGAAAGGTGCCAGCTGAGTTTCACTGACACTGTCCAACAGTGCCCTTCTGCTCACTAGGGTGCTTCTGGAACTGCCAAGGAGCTCTACATTGGAACCATATGACCCTTGTGTAGGAGGCAACAATTTCCCCAGAGCTGATTTTCTGAGGAGAGCTGCTGAGGTGAGAACTGTGTTGTGACAGGTGCTGTGTCACTGAGGCTGTTCAGAAGCAGTGTCTCAAGGTTTAGCATGCACTCTTAGGTACACTTTGCCTAGTGAGAAGCCTGGTGGTATTTGACTACTGGTATTCCATCACTTCCAGGAAGTCATTCTGCCTTTCCTACTACCCTAGTAGTAGACATTTCTGATCACCTCTTCAGACCTGCACCAGATTTGAAGGAATAGGGCCCAGGTGCTCCTTAGCAGATAGACAGTTGTTCAGATGTGGTGAGGGGGTTAGGCCTAGGCTTCCTCGTGTTTAAGGGACCTGTGGTGGCTTTGCTTCTTTTGTGGCTCCTGGAAGGCAAGGGTCTCAATGCTGGAGCACACAGAAGGACCCTTAAGGATTTCACCTGCAAGTAAACAAAAGAATCCTGTTCAGATGGAACTGTTAGACCCCACTTATGATGCCCAGAGCCTGAAATAAGGGCAAAGCACGCAGGAAGGCATAAACATAGTGGGAGGTGGTAAAAAGAATGAGTCAAGGGGATGCACTGGGTCTGGAGGAGATTCCAGGTTCCAGCTTAGAGGATAAGCTTCCCTGTGCAACCAAATCCCTGGTGCCCCAGCCCCAGCCCTACTGCATGTCATATGGTCAGATCCTACTACTTTCCTTTTATTACCCAGTTCATACTACATGTTATGTGGTCTGAAGAAAAATAAAGGCCTTTGTCATATTCCAGGAAAAGAAGGATGGAGCATGAAACACACACATGTAGAAACAGCCTGTACTGAAGAGGACATATTGGGGCAAGTTACCCTGTTAAGTGTGTGTCTCATTTTTCTTAAGGAGAAGTCAAATTGGCAGGGACCTCAGAGATTATCTAAGTCTAGGTCCACCTTTAACAGATGAAGGGTAGTAGCTCACAGAGGCAAAGGGGCCAGCCAAAGGCATACAACCAGTTAACATTAAGCCTGGAGTTAGAGACCAGAAATTTGGAACAAAAGAGGGTGGCCTGGACACTGGAGGGAGCCAGCAGGAACTGGAGGCTGTGGGTTAACTTGCCAGGGATAGGAGGAGGCTGTACAGAGCCAGTCCTCTAAGTGTTGTGATAAGAGGCTCAGGAAAGAAAGCAATCCTCAGAGAAGAACCAAAGGGAATTAGAAAACAAGAGCTAGTTAATATACATCCCATGCTTGATCACACTATGGATGTCAAGGCTCTCAGGGTACAACTTAGGAACATTCCTAGAAGGCTCAACTGCTCTGATATTTACCCTCTAAGTTTAAAGGTTTAATTTCTCATATTTAAAACAATCAGTTACACATCAAGTTTCTCTTAATAGGATTTCTAGGGAATTATTAGCATAACATTTAAGTAAATGTAGAGAATATCTGATATATATATATATATATATATATATATATTTTTTTTTTTTTTTTTTTTTTAAACTTTTCCCTTTAAGTGTCTTTTTTTCATTATCAGTTTTTCTTTTATATCCAGGAGACCAAGTGGATCTTCCTTCATGTTTTTTAAAGAAAATGAGGTGTTAAAATAAAATTGCTGTTCTTAACCTAATTTTGTGCACTAAAGTCAATTTATAAGGTTATGACTTATTTGGTTTTTCATAAAGTAGTTCAGGAAAGTCCAGACTGCACATATGGCCTCAAGATCTCTTGGTAGACAACTAATTCACAGAGAGACTTTGAAAGTTTCTTCCCTCAAGGACCAACTGAACTGCATTTCTCTGGCTCCTTGCTTGACTGACATCAAGGAGAGAAACTTGGGCTAAAGGGGAGAGATGGTGACGAGAGGAGAATAATAACATGGTAGAAAGCTGAGCAGGCAGGAGGGTGAAGGGATGGAATCTTAAAAGGAGGCTATCCAGGAGCTAAGACCTGTGCGGTGGACCAGATATCTCCTAGAAGGTAAAGGAGGTCAGGGTCACTTACAGATCTGATGTCAGAGAGTGATGTATTTGAAGCAGGCTATGTGACTGTGTAAGGTGCAACCGTTGCCTTAGCTCCAAGTTAGTCCTTGCCTTCTTCAAAACATCATGTGTCCTGGTCACTGAAAGAAGAAAAGAGCCCAACAAAGAAGGAATTTCCAGCTAGGCTCTACTTGCTGGGCATGCATTTTCTAGAGCATTTTCTTCTCACCCCTCAATCATGGCCTATTGTTGACCCCTTTGTCCCCCCTCCCTCTGCAACCACAATTCCTCATGTCACAGGAGGGTTGGGCCCAGTGCATCAGACTCTCCCTTCCCAACATTCCAGTGCCTCTGTGGTCACTGTTCTTCTGCAGCACAAGTGGGACATCTGCAAGACCAGCCCTTTCCTCTGCTGCTCCACAGCTCAGGGGCACCTACGCTGGCTGACAATGAACTGCTCCATGTTCTCCTTCTGCTGGTTAACAGACTTCAGATGCTCAGCTGTGCTCTCAAGGAGCTTCTCCTGTTTGGATACTTGGGCTCGCAGATCCAGGAGCTCCCTTTCCATTGTCTCATCCTGGGGAAGAAGGACAAGCTCTCACACAACCATTTGGAGACCGAATGTATCCAGTTCTTTATGGTTCCTACCAATCAGAAGCAGAACTCTATATATAATCTTCTCAGCACTTGCAGACTGAGTTCCCTTCATTATAACTTCTCAATCCCTCAGTTCAGAACAGTTGATAAAAATACCACAGGTAGGAATGTTGAGAACCTGAAAGCCCCCAATCAGACTAGCACAGGCCTATATTCCTGTGATCAAGGAGACCCTGACTCCAGACCCACAGCAACTCCCAACTGTGAACAAGACCTCCAAATTAGTCCTTGAAGAAGTTTTGTCTCACCCTTCTCCCCTCCATGCAGGACTTGGAATTTCAGAGATACTATGTCTGGGACACAGGGCTACCTGATGACAGTGTTCATATTTCAAAATGTCTGTATGAACCTGAAGATGGTAAAGTGCTTCCTTGTAATTAACATAGTTTGTTCCCCAAACATACCAGTTACATTAATATGGAAATAAAAACTAGTGAGGGGATCCAGAGACTGGCCCACCCAAAGCAGGACAATTCTTTAGGGGCTCTACCTTTTCCCCAGATTGGAACAGATAAAAGTTGTGTTGGGATTCTAGGAGCATGACTGAAAGAAGCTGCAGGATCACAGTGACTTCCTTTGATCTTCTGACCAAGAAGCCCTGAGGAATGGAGAAGCTTCAAAGGCCCCTGAATTTTAGCTCAAACTTCAGATTTATTGGAAGCAGATATTTATAGATTACCAGGGCATCTATGTCTGTGCTTCTCCATTTCCTTTTCTTCTCTTTGAATTATTATCTTGGGGTTTGGGGTGTGAGGACAAAGTAAGGTAATCAGAGCTTCAATGAAAACACCCACCAGGGGTCTCCCTCCAGGATGCTACATTAAGATCCAGCAAATTCTAACTACCTATGTAGCTCCTGACCCTCAGAAAGCCCTGGAACTGAGAATACAGAATCTCATGGGGCAGAAGAACAAGGATTATACCAGAAGACAACACTGGCCTCTTACCACTTTGCCAGGCAGCCCAGGGCCGTGGAAGCTTGGTAAAGTTGCTCTCCAGAACATGGTCAGGAGCAAGGCTGACTCCTCTAGGGTGTGGTGCAGGGCACAGGTGCTGCTTCTTAGCTCATGGAAACATTTGCTGCCTGGTGCCTGTGGAAAGGTGGGAGGGAGCCATGGACATCACTGAAGTTGAGACATCTCAGGGCTCACGACATTGCAGCCCTGCACAAGACTCAAGCTTCCTTTGTTGATGAGGCACAAAGCATGGGCTGCTTGAACCTTGAAAACCCTGGCCCATCCCTTTGAGGTCCCACGACTGAAGTGTGGCTCCTTTTACCTGGAATGACTCCTCACCTGGACACCCTATATAAGGCTATCAAAGCTCATTCCCATGTCATGTCCTCTACAGACCTTTTACCTTCCTCATATACAATAAAAGACCCCTCTGCACCAGTGAACTCGAGGCACAAGAGGTGACTTCTCACACTGGGCCTGTGGCCCATTAGTTGGTTTATAAATAGGGTTCTGTATCTTGCCCTGAAGTGGGGGTTACCTGGATGCAAGGCTCTGTCTATACATCCATGGGTCTCTGGTGGTTCAGACAGCACAGCCATTGGCCCTTGTTGTCTCTGAACAGAGAGGTACTCTGAGAAGCATTTGCAGATTGCCTCCCTCCCATTGCCAGGTTCTTACTCTTTCCATATACAAGGCCTTTATGGATGCAAATCCCTCACTACCTGTCCATCTGACTGATTTTAATCCACATGGGCCAGCATGACTGTAACAGATAATAAACCACGAGACAGTGCTGATTTCAACATCATATGGGCATCAACTCTTAACAAATACTTTACTGAGGATGGTGGCAACACTGCAAAGACATCTCTGTGGCTCTGAGGGAGAATATCTAGTTGGCTTCCTGTACCACAGAGTAGAACACAGAATGAATAAGGAGATAGGGAAGCAAGGGCTTGGCTAGAATAATTGGAAGATGCTTTCTCTGTCATTGGGAGATGCAGGCCACAAAAATAAATAGGGGAGAAGAAACCAGAATTAAGGACAAAGGGCACAAAGAAAGGGTGAACCCAGGAGCTGCAGGTGTGACTACCTCTGAGCTCTGAGCTTCAAGGCCCAGGAAGTTGCATGTGGGCCTCAGGAGAGACTGGATCTTTTCAACCAGCTGTTTCCCCTCCCCAATCTGCTCTCTGAGAGCAGTATAGTCATTGATGTGGCCTATGATGTGGCGGCCATGCTTGTTGGCGAAGGAGCCATCCATAGAATCACCCTCTAGCTTCAGAGAGTTCTTCATTCCTGAAGGATCATTTGAATCCAGCTCTGAAAAAGAAAACCACAATAATAAAGATCTGCCATTATTCTTGATAATATCCTCAGTTCTCACCAGTGCATAGACAGTGAAAGAGCCCAGGTTCAAGAAAGGCAGCCTTCAGAAATGCAGGGTGGGTCAAGCCCATAGACACCTTTTGGTTTCTTTATTTTTATAATATTTCTTACAACATTATATAATGATAAGCTTTCCAGAAGAAAAATTTTGTTTTCATTGACAAGTGGGCTATTCAGGACAATATTATAAACATGAAAGTTTTCTGTATAGAAAAGGCACAAACAAGTGAATAAGATTGTGTACAGGGCAATGACCAAAAGAGAGCAATAGGACAACTGTGGCAAGAAGAAGAATGAGAAGAAAGGCAGCCACAGAAGAGTCAAGGAACATGGACGATGCTTTCTCTGTCAGGAAAAAGAATGTGGCACACCGAAAATTTTCCAAATTCACATGACACACTTACAGAGGACCAACAGTTATTTGCATTAATAATTTTCCTTCATTGTGTCCAAGCCCTTTAGTTGTCATATTTATACCATTTGTCCTGGTGACAATGACAGTATCTGAGCCAGGAGAAGAGCAAGAAGAGCTGTGGAGGACCAGAGTTAGAAAATCTATGCCAACACCCCAAATACAGAGGAAATAACTGAATCTAGGGAGTAAAAACAACCAGTGTTAAGGACATCACAAACAGCCTGCACCCCAAATCATGCACAGTCTAGCCTTCACCACACAAGATCTAAGGTGCCAGGACTTCCCTCTCATATCATTAGCCTACATATGTCACAGAGAAAAGCAAAAGTCAAGAGATTGATATGTTTCTATTATTTAGAAAAAAAATGTTTGATGGATGGATATTACAAATGAATGTAACTTCCAGTAAAAACTTGTTAGGTACAATTTCATAAACCAACTTTGAGTATAATTTTCTATGTGCTTTCTAGTACAACGCCTTGTAGTGAAATTTAAATATGCACAAAATCACATACATATATAAAATACACATACATATGCATATATGTGAAATATGTATATGTTAAAATATTTATCAAGGGCTAGGGTGCACTTCAGTGGTAGAATGAAGAAAAAGAAACCACTCTATAGAGTGTGGCAGGTCTGGCACACACAGAACTTGGGTTCAAATTCTCTGTATTACAAAAGTTGATCAAAATGTAAACTATCAATAAAAGGAGTTCCTGGTAAGAGGAGAGTGGGTCAGAGCCAGGTTCCAGTTCAGGCCTCTGGGGGCTGGGAACAAGAGGAAGAGCAGGGACTGAGCCATGCTGCTGCATCTCAGCTGGCACATGGGAAAACAGTGACAGGGAAGCCCTGTCAGGAGGAAGTGAAGAGGAGACTCAACACCACACCCACCATGGCAGCTCCAAGAGGGCAAGGCAGCAACCTAATGTATGCTGAGCAGTTCCTGCCAGCTGGGTACTGTGCTTAGCAGTTTACAGATGTTTCTTACTTACAGGCCACAAAAAAAAGTCCATGAAATAGTCCACTTTCATCTGACACTTGAGGTCATTATCTGAAAAATGAGTATTCAGCGCAACCAGAGAAAATAAGGATTAACATGACCCAAGAATATCTGGCATGAGAATGTCAAGGCTCAGACTTAGAGAAACCTGAGCAGAAGTGATTGAGGATATGGCCATGCAGGTGATGGTAGAGGGTGAACTACTTGGTGCCCCCCAAAGACAATATAGAAGACACAGAGTGGAATGTTGTGTCAAGAGGCTGGGGAGTGGGGCCTCTGTTAACACTCAAATTAAAACTAGGGAGATAAGATAGAGGCTGGATATTGAAGAGAGCCAGAGAAATCTGGTGAACATGCTTATCTGAAGAGGCAGGCAAGAGACTGGGGCACAAGTGGATGTCTACCATGTGGAATAAGTGTTTCTTTTTCCACCCAGCACTTTTCCACAGCCCTGGTTTCCTTAGGGACAGGAGCAGTGTGCCACATACTGAGGTCCCCCTAGGTGAAGAAAAGGAAGCCACTCTAGAGAGTGTGGAAGGTCTGTGATACTGAGACTGAGCCTAGTGAGGTGGAAGGAAGACCAACTAAAAGGCCAAGCACCTGATTAGGTCTCTAAGCCCTGTAAACCCAGCTTGTCTATTAATGTCTCAGTGCCCCCTGTGTCAGTTGGATCATATAAAATATAAAAATATAGTAAAACCTGTCCTACTATAAATGACATTGGAAAACACAGGCTCCAGGCCAGTATGTGTCTCTTACCTGTAGCCAAACTTCCATAGAAATTTGTTTTTGCCTTTTTAGGTTTCATAATGATTTTCTTACCTATATTTCTTTTTTAAAATTAGAACTGTGTAGTTATACATAGTAGTGGGTTCATTCGGACAAAATCATACACGCACACAATTTGACTTCAGTTCATGATTGCCCCCTTCCCTCTCTCTTTTTTCTCCCATTCCCCCTAACATTTCCCAAATCTCTTTCATCTACTCTACTAGACTTCATTTTTGCTCATCTATTAATTTATATTTGATTACTTCTTTCTACCTATGCATAAAGGTGGAGTCCCCTGTGGCATATTTATATGTCCACATAACAACTTTTTAACAATTCATTCTGGGGCTGGGGTTGTGGCTTAGTCGAGAACACTTGCCTCAAATGCCTGAGTCCCTTTGATCAATCCTAAGCACCAGGTTAAAAATATATATAAATATATTGTGTTCATCAATAACAACAACAAAACAATCATCTGCATTGCCTCCCCTTACCCATCTCTGCACTCTGCCTCTCAAACTTCTCCATTACTGCTCTTTCCTTTATCTGTATGATATCCTATCCTGCCCTCCCCATTTCCTTTGTTTTACTCTAGTTTCTACATGAGAGTAAACATTCAAGTTTTGAGTTTTTGTGTTTGGCTTATTTCACGTAGCATGATATTCTCATTGCTATCCATTTACCTGCAAATGCCATTATTTCATTTTCTTTTATGCCTTTGAAGAACCCCAGTGTGTGTGTGTGTGTGTGTGTGTGTGTGTGTTTACACACATATCATATATATGTGTCAGAATTATAAAATTTATTTATCTATTAAGGTGATTCCATAATTTAGCTATTGTGAAATGTGCTGCTATAAACATTGAGGGAGCTATCACTGTAGTATGCTGATTTTAGAAGTTTTGGCAAAATACCAAGGAGTGGGCAGATCCTCATAGGATGTTTACATCTCTAGTTTTTTGATGAATCTCTACAGTGGTTTCTGGACTTGTACTAGTCTGCAGTCCCATTAACAATATACAAGTGTACATTTTCCCCACAACATTGCCTGCATTTTTTTATGTATATTCCTGAACATTGCAATTCTGGAGTCAGATAAAATTTTAGTATTGCTTTCCCTAATTGCTAGTGATGTTGAACCTTTTCTCATCTATTTGGCTATTTGTTATTTTTTTGTTAAGAAGTTTCTATTTCATTTTTTCTATTGCCCATTTATTGATTGGGTTATTTGGGATATTTTTGTATGAAGTACTTTGAGTTATTTATATATTTGGGGTATTAATCCCTTATCAGATGAGTAGCTGGCCAAGATATTTTTCCCATTCTGTAGGCTCTCTCTTCACACTCTTCTTTCTTTCCTTTTGCTGGGAAGAAGTTTTATAGTTTGATGGTGTCCCACTTATTTATTCATAGTTTCAGTTCATGTACTTTTGAGGAAGCTGGTGCCAGCAATTATATGTAGAATGTTGGCCCTGCGTTCTTTTCTAACAGTTGTAAGGTTTCTGGTCTAATTCCTAAGTGTTTGATCCATTTTCATTTGAGTTTTGTGCAGGGGGAGAAATAGGGTTTTAGTGTTATTTTTCTACATAGTTATCCAGTTGTCCCAGAACCATTTATTAAAAAGGCTCATTTCTCCAATGTATATTTTTGCACCTTTGTTAAGTACCACAGGGCTCTAAGTATGTGGATTTGTCTCTGTCTTCTATTCTGTCCTATTGGTATTTGGGTCTATTTTTGTGACAAAATCATGCTGTTTTGTTACTAGAGCTCTGCAGCATTACTTATTGTCTGGTGTTTTGTATTTAACAGTGGTACCAATAATAAATAACAAACTGAAATAGAAAACTAGTTCAAGAATCAGATAGTAGGAGACAACTATGTAGGCTAATATATTAACATCCCAACTTGAAGTGGTGGGAATTACTCTCTCTCTCTCTCTCTCTCTCTCTAATATATATATATATATAGATAGATAGATAGATAGATAGATAGGAATGCAGTATTTTTCTTTTGGCAGAGCTATTTTTGTTTAATACTTTTACTTTATTTATTTTTATGTGGTGCTGAGGATCCAATCAGTGCCTAACACATGCTAGGCAAGTGCTCTGCCATTGAGCTACAACCCCAAATCTAGGAATACAATATTTTTATTGAAAATTCTTTTTAAAAATATTATTATTATAATACATAATAGCATATTTTGGCATATTATATATACATAGAATAAGTATAACTTGTTGAAAATAGGATCCCCCCATTATTGTGGTTGTACATGACGAAGAACTTCATTGTTTGTATATTCATACATGAAGATAGGAAAGATGTGTCTTATTCATTCTCCTGTCTTTCCTATTACATGTTCCCCCCTTCTCTTCATTCCCCTTTGTCTAGTCCAATGAACCTCTAATCTTTCACTCCCTTGTTGTGAGTTACCATCCACATTCTACCTTTGGGTTTTGGGGCTGCCTTATTTCACAAAGCATGATAGTCTCCAGTTCCATCCATATACTGGTGAATGATATAATTTCGTTCTTCGTTATGGCTGAGTAGTATTCCATTTTGTATGTATACCAAATTCTTTATCTATTCATCTGATGTAGGGCACCTACGTTGGTTCCATAGCTTGACTATTGTGAATTGAGCTGCTATTAAATGTTGAAGTGGCTATGTCACTGCGGTATGCTGATTTAAAGTTGTTTGGATATAAAGTGAGGAGTGGGATAATGGGGTCAAATAGTGGTTCCATTCCAAGTTTTGTAAAAAAGCTCCACACTGTTTTCCAGAATGGTTGCACCAATTTGCAATTCCACCAGCAATGTATTAAGTGAAACTCTTTCCCCACATCCTTGCCATAATTTACTATTGCTTTTTTTTTTTTTTTTAATATTTACCATTCTGAGTGTGGTGAGTGAATTCTCAGTGTAGTTTTGATTTACATTTCTCTAATTGCTAAGATTTTAAATACTGCAACCTCTGGATCAACCAAGTTCAGGCAGCTTCTCTGATCTCAGGTTTTTCTGTACTAAATCTGTGTTTCTCTATGTTCTCCCCTCCCTTTGTGGGGAATCTTTGCTGCTTTCGGTACCCATGTGGCAGGTGCGTTGGCGTCTATATATTCTTATTCTTTGTTTTTGTACTCAAATTTCTGATTCCCTAGTCCAATTCAATGTACACTATTATATTTTGTGAAATTCCTTTTTCATCAACCTCAGTAAGTGTCTATATTCCTGCTGCTGTGCTCATGAGACAAAGTAATGCAGCTTTCCACTATCTCACCATCTTCTGCTCTTGTAATACAGCTTTTTATCCAGGATGATTGCTCATCACTTTTAACACTTTTCAGGTTGATGCCATCCCATTTGTGGATGTTTCATTTTATTTCTTGAACTTTAGGAGTGTACTTAAGGAATTCAGTTCCTGAGCCTTGATGTTAGAGTGTTGGGCCTACATGTTCTTCTGGTAGATGCAGGGTTTCTGGTCTACTTCAAAGGTCTTTGATATGCATTCAGTTCAGTTTTAAGAGAGAGGGGCTAAATTTCATTTGACTACATATGGATTTCCAGTTTTTCCAGCACCATTTGTTGAAGAGGCTATCCTCAGCACACTACAGTGATATAGTCACATCAATGTTTTTAGCAGCACAATTCACATTAGCTAAGCTATGGAGTCAACCTAGGTTTTGATATATATATACACACACACACACACACACACACACAGACACACACACACATGTATATATATATACACATGTATTGCTCAGCCATAAAGAAGAATAACTTTATGATATTTGCCAATATATGGATGAATCTGGAGACTACCATGCTAAGTGAATTAAGTCAATCTCCCCAAATACAAATATCAAATGTTTTCTCTGACATTTGGAAGCTAATCTACACTAAGGAGGGAAGAGGGGAAGAATACAAGTTCCAGGTATTAGACAAAGGGAAATGAAGGAAAAAGAGTACGGTAAGGAAAGGAAATGAATGGTAAGAAAAGGAATGAACCTGACATAATTTTGCTATGTACATATAGCAACACAACACAGAGAATGTCACCTTTATGTACATCAAAAGCCTGGGGTCCTAATTAGATTAAGATATATTCCATGCTTCTGTATGATATCAAAATGGGCTCTACTCTCATGAATAACTAAAAAGTAATAAAAAACATAATAAAAAATGACACTTTAATTTGCATATCTAAGTTAACAATCCAGGGGGCTGGGTTTGTGGCTCAGTGGTAGAGCACTCGCCTCGCATGTACAAGACCCTGGGTTCGATCCTCAGCACCACATAAAAATAAATAAGTGAAATAGAGGCATTATGTCCAACTACAACTAAAAAAAAAATGTTAAAAAAAAGATAACAACCCAGGTTTGAGTTAGACTTGTTCCATATGAAAACCCCCAGAGAGAGATCCATGTGCTAGTAACTTAGGAAAGACTCATTCCCAGCAGAAAGAGGTAATGAAGTCAAGGAAGTCAGGTACAGAAGGCAAAAAAGTCTAGAAAGTATAGAATTTAAGGGAGGGTATCATGTGTCTGAAAGATACTCTTCATAAGGTTGGGACCCTACTCTGACTGGGCTTCCCTGTGGCAGTTATCAAGAATATTAGGAGAGCAGGTGTGAGAACAGAGCAGAGTTCAGAATGTAAACAGGAAATGTAGATGGAAGGGCAGGTCAGGGCTACAAGGCCATGGGAAACACAGATAAGACCAAACAGAGGCTCCATCTGCTGTTGGAGACAAGCACAGGTGAAGAGAAATCACTGCAGAAGTAGGAGATACAATCTTCTACAGAGTTAAAAGGAGTCAAGTGCATCCCAGAGCCAACATACCTGAAGCCTGAAGGCCAGGGAATCTGCATGCTAGTTTCCTCTTGCTCATCAGAATTTTTCTTATAATTATTTTCTCTTTGCCGACACCTGTGGCATCATTGAGGACATGCTCTGTAAGTATGTGAAAGTAAGACAGGATTTGTAAAATCCAATAGCACCCAGATATATTTGCCAAACACTAGAAAATCAGAGTGCAGGTAGGTTGTGCTTTGGGGAAGAAAGAAATAATAAAAATCAAGCAAAATCAAAGGAGAAACAAACACATTATTAAAGAAAGGAAAACTCATCCTAAGGAATTAAAAAATATGAATAATAATGATATACTGCATGTATACCCATTATATATGATAAAGCACATGTATAAACAATGTGTAATACACACAAGAGGGATCTCTATATTTATCTGATGGACAACTGCTCCTTTGGGCTCTTGACTCCACCAGTGCATGGGAAACTTGCATCTATGATATGTATGGGCTCACATATCCACTCAAAGGCCCTTGGGCCTTCTCTGAGGAAGCTGAAAGAAGAGGGTTCAGTAACAATCCCAATTCTCCCTTTGCTAACCACTCCTGGAAAACCCATTTTTTTATGTCCCAGGCACAGTGACAGAAATCATGTGTCCAATGGACATGTCATCTTTTGTACATGTGCCTAGGTATTCTTGGGTGGGTGGTGCCCATACAAAAGTTCCTAAAATAAAGTAATCCAATAGACAAAGAGGGCTTTGAAGTAACAATGTGTTCATGTTTATTATCCAAATATGATTAATCTTAGTCACTATTTCTGGAGAGAACATTCTACAGAGACACCAGGGCATGGGACAAAAAAAAGAATTTATTGATCTTGATCCACAGGCAGAAAAGATCATGAATAGAAATGGTGAACATCATATTTTTCTTTGGGGGGGGGTGACACCAGGGATTTAACTCAGGGGACTTGACCACTGAGCCACATCCCCAGCCCTATTTTGTGTTTAATTTACAAATTGGGTTTCACTGAGTTTCTTAGCACCCCACTGTTGCTGAGGCTGGCTTTGAATTCATCATTCTCCTGTCTCAGCCTCCTAAGCCACTGGGATTTTTGGCCTGAGCCCCATGCCAAACACAGTGGACATACTTTAAAGACAGAATCAGAGTCTCTGAAGTGCTCATGATGTGCTCCCTCTTAATTGCAACCTACATGCAAATATATGGCTGACACAGCAAAGGCAACAATAAAATAAACCTGACCAGGCCATAGGAAAAACAGCAAAGCTTAAAATCCCCCTGACCTCTGTACCTACTCTGAAACAAAATGGGTCTCCTGCCTCTGCATGCATATATCTCAGCCTACACAGCAGAGTTGAGTGCAGAGAATTTTTGTTTTCTCAGGCAGACAAGTTAGATTCATCTGAATTATGATAGGAGTACTCACTGGCTTCATCCACAGCAGAACTGACTTTAGGCTCAGCTGATGGGAAGACAGAGCTTCTGACAAGTTCTTGTGTGTTAGATGAATTAGGATGATCCGAGGGTATAAAATAAGTTTTCCCCAGCAGGAGGTCATCCTCTTTCTCCTCCTGCAGTTCACCATTGGGAATGCTGAGACAAGGAAGAATAACAGAAAAAAATCAAGGTGGTTTAGAAGCTACAGCCTCCCAGTTGGTCCTGATTTAAAGATGAAGGGTGGAGTCCCCAAAGAGATCCCTCCCTTCAAAAGTGATCCATAAAATTATTTTCATCTGATGAACATAGTTCAGGTGCCAAGGTATGAGAGAGAGGGGGAGAGCCACCAGTGCCCAGTGTACTGGCCAGATTACAAGCTGATGAGAAAGGAGGCTCAACTTCATCTATAAAGTACAACTACAGAAGGATCATACAATGAGAAGCAAAGCTGTAGTTGAACCTAGGGCATGACTAATATTGACACATATAGATGGCCAGCAAATACAGCCTGGTACATGATAGAGTGCCCAAAGAATGTGTGCCTTCTAGAACTTTTTCTATCCATTTTTTTTTGACATAATACTTTTTTTGGGGGTGTGAAAGGGGTAGAAAGGGAGCGTATTTCTGCTTTTCTTGGTATGGCATACCTGTCCGTGATCTTAGGGCATTAGTGTAGAAAGATAGTATGCCTCTAATCCTGATTATTCAACTTTAAAATAAACAAGTGATTTTGTTAAAAGGAAGAAATTCCCAAGACTGAAGAACTGCGCAGTTCTTCTCAGTCACACTCACTGTACCAGCACCAGAAAGATAAAAGATAACCTTGCTAAAGGGCTCCATCACACTGGGCTTAGTCAACATCACCACTGCCAACAGTAGTCTTTTTTACATTTGGTCATCAAATGTGTCTACTTTTGACCTCATGATCTATTCTTTCAGGTTATCCTTAACCCCTTATTTTGCCCTTTCTTACAATCTCCAGATTATTTGTTGTTACCTGGAATTCAGCGAATTTTGGTCTTTTTCATCATCATTTTCATGGTTTTCTGCAAATAATTCAAAAACATCCAGGAGTCATTACATAGTGCTATTTTACCCATTTCAACACAGAGCCCATGTGGGTTCTTCAGTCACCTTGGCTAGACAGGAATAAGAATCTGCAGGAAATCTTGAAAGTTATTGCAATGTAGGTCAGGAATGAGCAGAAAAAGGAGTCTTGGAAAATGGAGTGGGATAAGGGGTGAAGACAAAATGACTCCAGACCTGTTTGGGTCGGCCACCTACAGCCCAGATAAAGTTCAGTTGTCATAATCTTTCTCATCAGTTTTCACAATTTTCCTTTGTGTGTACAAGATAAGAATCCAGGGTTGACTTAGTCCTGTTTGCCAAGGAGGGTCCAAGAAGGAGCCATGTGCCAGTGACTTATGAAGGCCACGTTCCCAGAATAAAGAGGCAGCAGAGTCAAGGAAGCTGTGCACATCAAAAGCCTAGACAGCGTGTGATTCCAGGGAAGGTGGCATGTGTCTGAAATATGCTCTTCATGGGATTAGGAACCCCAATTAAGCTGGGCTTTCCTGTGGCAGTTACAGGGAATATCAGGACAGCAGATGTAGGAACAGAGCACACTTCAGAATGCAAACAGAAGGTGGAGATGGAAGGGCCTCTCAGGGTGGGAGACCATAAAATAGAGACATAAGACCAGACAGTCTCCATCTGTTTTGGAAAGAACCAATGGTGAAGAGAAATCACAGCAGAAGGAGCTACATCCTCATAGAGAGAGCTAAAATGGGAAAGTGCATCCCAGAGCCACAAAAGCTGTCACCACTCTACCTGAAGCTTGAAGTACTGGGAATCTGCATGCCATTCTCCACTTGCAGAAGAGTTGTTTTCTTTTCATAATCTTCTGTTTCACAGCACTCCTGGTATCAGTGAGGACATGCAGCTCACATCCAGGTGTTTTGACAGCCAAGCCTCCAAGGGCATCACCCCCAAGCGTGGGAAGGTTCTGCAGTTCAATGCAAGTATCCAAATTCAGTTCTGAAAATAAAACAGGAACTATTATCCTGTGACACAACTACTGACCCAAAAGAGTCACCAATCAAGAAAGCAGCCTTGCACAAGAAAGCCTAAGTATTGATGTGTAGCTTATAGAGACTGATACTTTCAGGGCTGGGGTTGTAGCTCGGAGTTAGAGCACTTGCCTCGAATGCATGAGGCCCTGGGTTCTATCCTCAGCACCACATAAAAATAAAGACATTGAGACTGATACTTTCATTTTGTTGATGATTCTGGCATATCCAGTATGATAAACTTGACAGGAGGCAAGTGTGCTTCCAATTCTTGAAAATATTCAAGAAATATGGAAATTATAGACACCTATAGCTCCCCAATATAAAAGGCAATAATACCACTAGAGATCTAGGCAGAGCTTTTAGTCAGAAAGAGATTATCAAAGTTAAGCAAAATCATAGTAGAAGGAAAACTATATGAAAGTAGAGAACCGGGGAAGAATCATCCCTGGAATATTTTAAATCTCACCATGACTGACTTATTTTATATACAGGCATTATTACTAATAGAACTACTGTATATGCCTAATATATAATGGATACATCTGATGAACAGAAAATTATGAACATTTACATGTGGGATTGTATAATATCAATATTCTGGCCACTACAAGTCAGAAATAATTTAGAAACCTGAGGAAAAAAAAAAAGAGATGTTTGAAAAGCAGATGCTCAAAAATTCCCTGTGAGACACCACAACACTATCACCCAACTGAGCCTGTAGGCTGAGTCTTGACTGGGATTGTGGGAGCATCCAGTAGAGTCCAGCAGGAAGAAAAGATGGTGATCCTCCTCAAGTTATTACATGTGCTTCAAGAGCTACACAACAGTGACACACACTGAGCCCATGCCAGGGAATGCTCCACATGAGGGACAGGTGTTTCTTCTCTTGCATGACCCTCAGAGGTTTGTAATGAGGGCTAGGGTGCCCACATCTGTCAGATGAGTGTGGCACCTGACATGAGAACCAGAGGCTCCAGAAGCTGATATTGAGGGAGACAGAGAATCAAGATGAACACAACCCAGATTAAGGGGGCAGGAGGGACTGAAACTCAGTCTTCACATCTGAGCAGAATTGAGTCCTTGTGAGGACACTGGCTAAATGGCTATGGAGACAGATGAATGGAGAGGATGGACTCAGTGTGGAATCATCAAGGAGACAATTTGTGCACTTTCTGTGTGAAGGTGTCACATTAATTCAAAGAGAGGAGGAAAGGTGAAAAGTGAGCTGGATATGTCAGGACACAGACTTGTGGGCCCAGGATTTATACTATTACTGAAAAATTGCTCTATATCAAATGAAAATATCTTTTGTGAAATTATATTTATCAAATCACCAGAAGTTATCTGAGGATTTGAGATTACAGAGTCAAAGCTTTCAGTAAAAAAAAAAAATTATTTTTATTGAACTGGTACTATGGAAATTATTTTAACTAATAAACCATGAAAGAGATATAAGCACCTAAGATATCCACTTGGTCAAGGCCAGCCCAGGACCTGAGAGTGTATTTAACCCTAGGCCCCAGGCTCCAGCTCACATCACTATGTCAGAGAATGGCAGCTTTAAGTCTGACCCAGAGAACATGAAGAGGCCCACCATCTCTGCCACCCACAATATTCTGACAACCAACACGTGGATCAGAGCTTACAAATTACCTTTCCTTTCCTACCTGGGAAGAGCATGCACTGTTTTCCAGGGTCAGTGTTGGCTACACAGCTATTGATAGCAGAGGAAAGGCTCAGCCTGGCTCCACCATCACCACAGATTAACTGGTGATCCAACATTGTCCCCTGACAACTACTCATTTGGGCATTTACATCCAGGTGTACATCTGAGGCTTGCATCTCTGACACACTGGGGCTCACATGCCCACTCAAAGGCCATTGGAGACACATAAAAGGAGAAGAGGGCTCAATAACTATCCCAGTTCTTTCTTTCTTTAGTACCTCCCCCCAGAATGCCCATTTCTTATGTCCCTGTCTGTTGGGGAAACCAGCTTGTGACTCAGGTACAGTGACAGAGATCATGAGTGTGATGGATATGTCACCTTTGGTTTCTGTGCCTAGATGCTAAGAAGGCCAGAATCAATAAATGGGATGGCAAACTGTAAAGCTTCTTCACAGTAAAGGAAACAATTAATAATGTGAAGAGAGAGCCTACAGAATGGGAAAAGATTTTTACCACCTGCACCTCAGACAAGAGCATTCAATCCTCAGGATATATTAAGAACTCAAAAAACTAAAAACCCAAAAGAAAAAAAAAAACATTAAATAACCCAATAAATAAATGGGCAAAGGACTGAACATGCACCTCACAGCCAAAAAAATACTAATGGCCAAAAGATACATGAACAACTCTTTATCATCTCTAGCAATTAGAAAAATGCAAATTAAAACTACACAGAGATTCCATCTCACTTGAATTAGAATGGCAATTATAAAAAATTCAAGTAACAATAAATGTTGGTGGGGAATGGGGTGAGAAAGGTACTCTCATACATTTTGGGTAGGACTGAAAATTAGAGCAGCCACTATGGAAAGCAGTATGAAGATTCCTTAGAAAACTTGGAATGAAACCACCATTTGACATCATCAACAGATGAATGGATAAAGAAAATGTAATGTATATAGAGAATGGAATATTACTCAGCCATTGAGAAAAATAAAACAATGGTATTTGCCAGTAAATTGATGGAACTGGAGATATCATGCTAAGTGAAATAAGCAAATCCCAAACACCAAAGGCTATATGTTGTGACTTGTAGATGCTAATCGGAAACAAGGGAGGTTGGGGAAGGGAATAATAGAAATCTACTGTACTGGACAAAGGAAAATAAAGGGATGGGAGGGGAGAGAGAAACAGGAAAGACAATAGAATTAACTGGACCTAACTAGCCTTAACTAGCCTTGTATTTGAATACATAACCAGGGTAAATTCACATCATAAACAAAAAGAGCGGGTTCATCGACAGGATAAGTTATACTCTACTAATGTGTAATTTGCATAATACATTCTACTGTCATATGTTACTAAACAAGAACAACAACAACAAAGGCAGGTGTCCAGAAAAGAGTGTCCCTGAAGAAAAATCATCCACTTAAGATGGCTTTGAAGAAAAAAAATGAGTTCAAGGCTATTTTCTCAGTATTATTAAACTCCATCACTGTTTGTAGAGAGGACATTCTATTGAGACTCAATGACGTGATTGAAATAAAAAGATTTATTGATCTCTCTCCCCAGGGAGGAAAGATCATGGAAAGAATCTAGGATACCATGGAAAGGGGTGTCGAGTGGTTGTATAACATTCCTACTTATGCGACCCTCTCTGCATTTCGGAAGCCTATGATTCCTTGTGGCCTATGTACCACCTACAATCCATACACATATACAGTCTGTTGCCACCTGGAGGCTGTTAGCAGCTATAAGCAATGCAGCAGAGGAGCTGGCTCCTTATTGTAAATCAATTGTATGAAACTGTGGAGAGATATCGGGTCCATAATCCTTATATTTTCCACATGCTACAGAGGCAAATTGGACATTCCTCCTGATATAATTGAGTTCTATGTCCCTAGGGAAATGAATAGATTTCCAGTCAGAAGTTGAACTGACTGGAGGTTTCCAGCAGCCTCATGTCAATCCAGGTCAGGCTCAGGAAGAACTGGGTACAACAGGGTCTGCTGCCCACTACTGTGTTCTCCACACACTCTCCTTGAAAATCCCTCATTCTCACCACGATCTGCTTCAGTTTTCTCAAAATTTCTTCAATCTGACTGTTTGGCTCCATCACCCTGAAAGCACACCTCATCATACTCTCATCACTGGTATCTAGATTCTTCCACTCTCCTCCTCACTACCTTCTCTTGTTGTGAAGTTCCCCAAAGATCAACTCTCCCATCAGGTTCACTTTTGTTAAGATACAGCTGCACAGTGTTACCCATGCTGGCCTCACGCTCCTGGCCATGAGAGAATCTGCTGCTGGGACCACTGAGCCCAGCCTCACTAGCCTTCTCACTCAATGTCCTGCTCTTACCATGTTCCCACTCTGCTTGTGGAAACTGTATTCCTACATCCCCCTGAATAATTCCAACTCCCCATCTTGCATTTGAAGTCCTCATTCCTGGCCCCACAAGGTTATCCAACATCACATCCCAACACTGCCATATGCCATCCTTCCTTGCCAGGCTGTCTCCTCCCTGACTCTCACTCTGCCTCACTGTCTTCCAGCATTCAGGTCTTTGTCTACAGATGCTGCTCCCTGCCTGTCATGTACTGTGTGTCCCCAAGTCTAAGTTCATCCATCATTAATCATCTGTCACTGAAGGCACTCAGTAACATGCATGAGAGATCCTCTGGACCTGAAGGAGAAAGTATCTTAAACCAATATACCTGTTTGTGAAAGCAATGGTGAAACAGAGAAAAAAAGGAGATTAGACCTGGAAGGATTGAAAATGGCCACCGACACAAGAATCTCTTCATGGACTCTTGGCAACGTGGACAGTTTCTTCACAAAGGTCTTGTATGCCATGCTTACTACCAGCCACTCTATCATTACATAATTTTGGTGGGAAGGAGAACTCCTTTTATATGTCCAACCCCTGACATCCTGGCCCATTCCTTTTCATGAAATCCTATTTAGTCTCATTATATTAAAAACAAATCTCCTCCCCTTCAATCTACTTCTTTCAGTTTCTTGAGGCTGGATCCCTCAATCATTGTGTACAATATTTATTTCCACTGGGTCTAAACCTCCAGCCCCTCCTACATATAGTGTCTATTATGAAAAGTGGCCAAATCTGTGAAGTCCCTTGGGAAAGTCTCACCTTCCCACCAGGATATTACATTTAAACTACCTTGAACTCAGACTGAAGGGCTTTGGGGTAATTTAGTCTCAAGGTGGCTGTAGCTCAATGTAGACTCGCTCTCTCTACCACTTCTGTGAATGACTACAGAGCCAGGTCTACCCTCCAGGTCATCTGCAATAAATATTTTAAATTGAGTTAGAATTTTGTCATCTTTTCTGTTGCCTGCTTTTAGCAGGGAGGAACCCTGCTGACATTTTTCAAGGCTCACAGTAGAAGATCCTCTGCAACTATTGGAGCCATTTATCAAACTCTAAAAGTATTGTTACATGCCATTAGTGGGCAAGATTGGAAAGTCCTCAACAAAATATCAAGTTGTAGCTTAGTTATATTCATGTTGTTTCTGCAGGGCTTTCTGTGTACAGAGAATAGGTCTGAGTAGAGAGGTCAGCACCACTACTGTACTTACAGCTGTGTCCTGTTCACAATATTCACATTAGGGTCAGTGAACAGGATGAATATTTGTACAATTAGAATGCTCTTTTTCTTCATTTCAGATTCATGTATAAAGGTGACTGTGTCCAGCTCTATTTGGAGGGAATGGATGAGGCACTGGCTCTTCCCAGGGACAAAGTACACTGATTGATTAATAGCTCAACAACCCATGTGAGAGGCCTTATGAATTCTTTGTTCCAGAGAAGCAATGTCTCTGTTTCTGTTTGAAATTGTCTCAAAAACATTTGTAACATACAGAAATAGGAATGGGTGAACACCCAACCCAGACTCATCTTTGAAAAATCAGGCTGCACAGCAGTAAAAATATGTTGGCTGAGGAGTCAGGCAGACATGGGCCCTGTGTTCCCACCACACACTAGTGGAGATTTAGGGCAGTGACCATGCTGAATCTCAGTGTCCTCAGCACTACTGTAGAGACACCACCAACTGTGGATAGTGTCTCTTGAGGATTTAATGGAGTAGTCTGTATACAGAGATCACTTGGCAGTGGTTACAGTTCACCACATGTATTTTATTTCTGTTTCTGAAATGTTGTGACACTGAGATTAAACCTTTGCATCATTGCACCTCAGTGGAAATTGGAAAAAGAAAAAGATGGTCACACCTGAAAAGGCACTGACTAAAGCAAGGGTTGGGAAATAAATTTAGTCAGTTAATTTTACTATAAAACATTCTGATACAGTGAGACATCATAGACTTCTGCTCTTCTTAAAAACTGATTTAATGAGTAAAGACTCCCAAGGATTTCAAAAGTTTATCTGAGGAAAAGTTGAACTCCACCTTGAATGAGAGGAAAGAAGAATATTTTTTTTCTCTACATACTCTATAAAGCTACTATCACTCAGGGCTCTTGTTCAACAAGAGTGACATTCCTGGAAATTGTGGAGAGAAATGCTCTCTGCTGTCTGAATAACTGGGTCAGTTCCCCATCATGTACACTGGCCATTGACAATTTACATGAGAACATAACTCTCAGACTGAACATATGATTCAACATGTAATCTATGAAGGAAAGAATCATTAGTGCTCCTTTGTGTTGAAACCTACAGCAATGTATGGTGAAACAGAAACAGGAATGATTGATTGAAGGATAGCCTTCTCAGAGGAAGTTGAGAAACTAAGTCAACGCTCAAGAACCATAAGAGACTTCCATATGATTTTTGAATATTCTATCTCATGAAAAGAAGAGAGGAAATCATTAGAAAATAAATGCAATTTCCAAGGACACTGCAGAAGGAATGATTTAACCCCTTTAAAGACTGAGGTCTGACCAATCCCTCCTGGAACAAGTTGCAGTAGTGTCTGTGAGGTGCTTCTAATCCCCTCCTCCTAACTCCAGTCTACCTGCAACTATGGCTGGCACATTGCAGACCAGGGTTAAAAAAAAAAAAAAAAACTGACCTGGCAAGAAAAATAACAAAGCTTCAGATCCACCTGACCTCTACACCTGCTGGGAAACAAAATGGGTCTCCTGGCTCTGCAGGCATATGTCTCAGCCTAGATAGTGGAGTTGAGTGCAGAGAATTTGTGATTTACCAGGGAGACAAGTTGCATTCAACTGAATTAGGATAAAAGTACTCACTGGTTCCATCCACAGTACAGCTGACTTTTGGCTCATGTGATGGGAACACAGAGCTTCTGACAAGTTCTTGTGTGTCACATGAATCAGGATGACCAGAGTACCGAAAATGTTTTTCATCCAGCTGGAGGTCATTCTCTTCCTCTTCCTGCAGGTCACTGCTGAGACTGCTGAGCCAGCTGAGGCAGGGAAGAACAAAAGATGAAATCATGGTGGTTTAGAAGTTACACTCTCCCAGCTGGTCCCGATTTAAAGCTGAAGGGTGGAGTCCCAAACAGGTGCCTCCCTTCAAAAATGACCCAGAAAACGATTTTCATCTCAAGGACATAGTTTAGGTGCCATGGTATGAGAGACAGACCAAGGTCCACCATTGCTCAGTGTACTGATAACAAGATAACAAGCTCAAGAGGAAGAGGGCACAGCTCTGCCTATAAGGTACAGTCACAGAAGGATCACACAATGAGAAGCATAGCAGGGGCCAAGCTTGTGCATAAAGCATGGTGAATTTTAGACACAAGTGTCTGATCAATAGTCTCTTGAATTGAAGAGTCTCAGAGATGTTTTGCCTTCTTTGCACATCCATATTATGACATGATATCATTTTTGTTCTATCTACTTTTCTTGCTATGGAATACCTGTTGATGAGCTCAGGCTAACAGTACAGAAATGATTTTTGGATCTCATCCTGAGTTTGACCTTTACAAAGGGAACATATGATTTATTTAAGATCTAGAAGTGCCCAAGGCTGCTCAGTTCTTCTTGAGCAGACTCACTCTTACAATACCATAAAGAAGACAGAGAACTTTGCTAATGGGTTCCATCATCTTGGATTGAATCAACAACTTCACTGCAATCAGCACTCCTACTGTGCCTTTAAGAAACTTTGACTACATTTGACCTCATGCTCTGTACTTTTAGGATTCCTGCACCCCTTTTGTTTTACCCATTTTTTTCTAGCCCCTGGTCATTCATTGTTACCTGAAATAAAGTGACTCTTCTTTATCATTGTCCTCATTGTCATGGTGTTCTGTAAACATATTCAGAAATGTAGAGGTCATTAAATAACTCTACTTCACTCATTCCAATACAGACACCTCCCTCAGAAAAAGACATAATTTATGTATATATAATTCAGGGAGCAACTAAGGGACTTAACCTGGCAGAACTCACATGTTGAGTTTAAAGAAATGGTCTGGGATGCTATGCTGATCCATCATGCACAACGTCTCTGACTGGGTGGATCATTATTATGGAATGCTCTTCATGTAGTTAGACAAAGTCAAAATGCATTTTGGTCTCCTGATCCCTGGATACTCGTCCAGGTTCTTCTGGATTTCACTAACTGCACCTTCCTTCCTTCCACAAAGCTCATTCCAAGATTTAGTGGCTCTGGGCCCCCTCACAATTCTCAAATAGAACCAGTTTCATTCTCTATGAAGAGGATTAAAATCCTTGAGCCTCATTTTTCTCAATACTAGGGATTTTTTTTTAAGGATCTCAAAGTTGACTTTGGCAGTGTACTAGAAGGAAATTCATATTTCAGAACTTTTCTGGTATAAACCAATATTTCCACCACCTGATTCTAGCATTTTAATGGAAGCAAAATTAACCATTTCAATGTTCTCTCTTTTTTTGTTTTTGGTACCAGCGATTGAACTTAGGAGCACATGACCACTGCACTACATCCCCAGGTCTATTTTGTATTTTATTTAGCGATAGGGTCTGAGTGGTTTACTGCCTTGCTTTTTCCTGAGGCTGGCTTTTTAAATTTTTTTTATTTTTAGTTTTAGGTGGATACACAATATCTTTATTTTTTTATTTTTTTATGGTGGCGAGAGTTGAACCCAGTGCCTCATGCATGCTAGATGACTGTCCTACCACTTGAGCCACATCCCATGCCCTCTGAGTTGGCTTTAAACCCAAGATCCTCCTGCCTCAACCTCCTGAGCAGCTGGGATTATAGGCATGTGCTTGTAATCAAAGGATCAAACATGAGCAAGAACACTGTAGGAGAGATCAGTTGTCCTAGGTTGTAAGAATAAGGTCATGCAGAGCCCTGATATGCACACACATAAATGGTACCTGTGAGTAGGTTACAGTCTCTACAACTTCCCTGCTCTTGTGAGTTCTAGGTTTACCATCATGAATTTGTCACTGGACCCTCAGAAGTATAATTAATAGGAGTGCATTTGTGTTTTAATGGGGTAGTCATGAGCTGCAGTTAGACAAAGGGAGACTTCATGCTCACCCAAGAGATCAGCACTGAAGCAGGGGGGCTGGTGGATATCTGATGATTCAGAGTGACTGGGGCAAGTGTTACAGCCCTCATTCAATACGTCCTGCAGGATTTCTTTCTCCTCCTGTGGGGCTTGTCTCAGACTGGAGGGATAAAGAGTACGATTAAATGAGAGTAGTAAATATGAGTCCCAGTTGGTCTAAATAGAGGCCTAAGGGAGTGGTCACAGAAGGGCAAGAGGGTACTCCTTTCAAAGAGAAAGAAAATGATCCTCATAGGATGTGGGCAGGGTGCACATGTCTTTACGACAGGAGATAGGAAGAGGGGCTCAACCTACTGACTAGAAAAGAGCTGAGGACAGAGACTCCACTCTCCCTGTGTGATACAACCATGAGCCACAGCATACACAGAAAATGGACTTTGTGTGTGTGTGTGTGCGCGCGCACATTTGTATATGTGTGTGTGTATGTGTATTCCCCCCACCCAAGGCTATGACATTCCTGCCAAAAAGTCTTATCAACCAGAAAGAAACCAGATTTATATCTCATACTCAAAGGACCCATACAAGACAGGAGATGTAGATTCTGTGAGGTAAAAAAACATTTAGTTAGTTTGATTACTTCTAGTTGGATACAGACAGGAACCACAGAGAAAAGAAAAACACCTCCTTAAAAGATGGACTTCTTCCATGGTTGAGGAATGCAGTCATACCAGCAGCTTGTGTTTGCCTTTGCATGTGAATTGTGTGGACACTTTGTACCTCTTGGTTTGCTCAACTGGGGACCCTCCTCATATTTAACCCACCCTCTTCCAGGCTCTTAACACTCATTGTTACCTGGGAGCCAGTAATTCCTGTTCTTTTCCACTCTCCTCCTCTGCACCACTCCCTGAAATCAAATTCAGAAATGTCCAGTCAATCAGTGAGTAGTTTCTACATCACTCACTACAAACTCAATGGAGAATCATTATTCCCAGACCTTTACCAACATGGCTGTTATATGTCTGTGGATCTGATATGGTACAACAGAATACTGTTAAAAAAGGTTTGAGCTATTCTTGAGGATGAAAAGGCATTTTCATGTCTCTAGTAGAAATCAGTAACTGGGAATTAACCTATGCCCACCCTACACTTCCCTGTAAACTTAAAGTTGCTATAGTCTTTGTGTTTCATTATTCCATTGTTAGTAAACTGAAGGCAAAATAACAATATCTTTACTTCTGGAAATGATGGATTTCCTTTTGATGAAAGAAAAGAGGAGAAAAAATTTTGGAGAAAATCTTTTTCTCAGAGGGGAAACAGACAATCATACCCCACTTTAGTGACCATCTGCAACTTACGATATTTTTGGAACTGGTTGGCAAGGGTATACAAGGTAGTTTGACATAAGATGAACTTTTCTTCCAGATCACGGAAATTCAGTTTGTGTTCTTGTAGTTCAGCTTGTAGTCCCCGTATGATTTCTTTAAGTTTCATCTGAGGCTCTCCGTCAAGGTTCATTTCAGCCCCCCCATCAGGGGAAGGGCTGAAGAATACTGCCATGTTTGTACAGTAAATGTACAGCCAGGACCTGCAAAGAAGAAACCCAAACATGTCATGGGTTAAAAACAAGTGAATCCAAGAGCTGGCTGCAGTGGCAAACGCCTATAATCTCAGAGGCTCAGAAGGTGAGACAGAAGGATCTAGAGTTAGAAGTCAGCTTGAGTAATGGCAAGGTGCTAAGCCACTCAGTGAGACCCTGTCTCTTAATAAAATACAAAAAAGGGCTGCATATGTGGCTCAGTGTTTGACTGCTTCTGACCCAAATATTTTTTAAAAAATAAAATAACCAGAGGAGAATTCATCAGGACTAAGGGAAGACAGCAGCTGTCATGATTCACTTACTGTTGAGAAACAAGTACTCAGCAGTCCACAACACTTGAAACTCCTTCACCTCTCAAACAAGGATTCACACACCTGAGTCTATAGCATGGACTCAAGACAGAAATGAGGAGGTAGGGCTGAGTGCGCTAGGCAACAGTCTAACAGAATCAGAAGGTAGGAGATGTCATGGAATGTGGGAGCCTCTGCCTTCCAATGGCCTCATGCTGGCTGATCTACTGGTTTCTTCAGAAGGTCACTACAGACGTAGACCGCCACTCACTGGGCAGTCTCAGTACTTGTGTACCCTCATGCCAATGTTACCAACTTTTCTTTGTTCCCCTCTCCAAACACCATATTTCACATTACTCCTAACGGTATATGTTGAGAATCCTCAAAGTAAAAATGGTTTCCCAACAAGTTAAAATTATCTACGGGACTACCCAGTGGTCACCTCATTATTTCCTTAATAATAAAGTGGATCATAAGGCTTTTCCTCAAGGGATCAATGCAAAACTGTCAACATAACATAGTCATAATGTTCTTCTCTGAATATGCAGCCATTATTTCAAAATCCACTAAAAATACAGAACAAAGAGTAAACCATGAGTGTTTGAAATTGTTTTCTGCACTCTATCAATATTATTTTGTTATACTCCATTTTTATTGTGGCCTCTTTTCTCTCACTGGGACATCTGTTGGTGTATAGGACTCTGAAGGAATTCCTCACTTATTACAAAAGTTACAATTGGCTCAGGCAATAGGAACATGGAAAGGAGAATAGAAACATGGAGGGGAGCCATGCTAAGTCTTTGTGAACCCTCAACTGTGGGACGCTCATTGGAAGAAATTTTCCAGATCCCTCTTACTAAGTCCAAAGCAGATAATGTCCAGTGCTGACTCTGCTCTTCATGGCAATCTTCCCTTCACTAGGTCAGGCTACTGGTGTCTGCAATCAATGTTCTCACCTACTGAGAACCATGGCTGAATCTGAAGCACATACGTTAAGCTCTTTTCAGTAAGGATTGGATACCCTTCTTCCTAGCATGCTGCAGGGAAATGAGCCCAGTGCTTTACCTGTCCAAGCTCAGCAAATGCATTCGTTTGCTTTAACTCACTTATAATGTAAGTTCTCTATATACATGGAGATTTTACATTTTATACACATCACAGGGTAAACTGATGAGCAAAGCAGGGGAGTTAGTTTATTCTGCTTCTATCAACACAAGAGTCATAGACTCTCATCCACTTGAATATCAGAAAGCCAGGCTTTTAGCCCCACCTTCCTCCCTTTGGACTGCAAACCTGAAAATTACTTCAATTATTTACCTGCATTTGAAATGAAGTTTGAGTAAAAACAAGAGTTGAACTTTGAGGAATGACGATATTAGTTTGTTCTGAAGTGGATAGAAAATGCTGAGGTCTAGAGAAAACATCACGATAATCTTCGCAAGGAAGAACTTATGTGTCTTACTTATCCTGCCTCTTTCGCCAGCTGGCCAGAGCATACTCAGTATCTACTGATGTCATCAAAATCATCTTCAGACCTTGAGAATATGGATTTCTATGAGCCAAACTGGAGAGCAGGTGTTGGTCTGAGAAGTCATTCATCATTATGCTGGGACCTGTTGGAAACAACCAGTAGGGGGATCAACCTGACTACCAACATTTTTTGATACAGCACTGGCTACACTCACCAATGAGTCCACTATCAATTCTTTCACTTGCTGTTCACAAGAATGACATTTCTATATAAGCTAAGATTATGTTCGATCCATCTCTGTGTTCACAGTTTCCAGTGAGGCCCAAGCACTGAGGCAGGTTACACTCAATGAATGCATAAAAGTGGTTGCATACCACAGTTATTACAATGAAGTCCCTTTACAGTGTCATCTAATATGTAATTAATAAAGGATTTTTTTCTTCTTTCCTACTGTAGGTTACTTTGCTATGTAGGTAAAATAGACATAACACAGAGAATAAGAATGAGTAGAGGAAAAAAGGGAAAGATGGAAATTTCATTAATTTGAACTTACATATGGAAAGGTCATCTATTTTATTTATTCTTTTCTCCCTAACAATAATACTTGCATTGTTGTGGATATTTAGCAACTAAAAATATATATCCTCAAAACTTGACAGAGAAGCAGTAGTCTTTGAAAGCTTAAGAAAACATAGCCAATTTTTCTTCTGCATTTGCTGTCACATAATTAATATTCTCAAGAAGAGGACAAACATAAAGACAGTGGAATGAGATGGACATCATTACCATAAGTACATGTATGAAGACACAAATGGTGTGACTCTACTTTGTGTACAACCATAGATATGAAAATTTGTGCTCTATATGTGGAATATGAGTCATAATGCATTCTGCTGTCATATATAACAAATTAAAATTTAAAAAGTACAAAAAAAGAACGTGAAAGTAAAAAAAAATACTACTGTAAATCTAGGCCCCATCTAAGACTCTTCGATTTCAAGTGGCAACTTATATGACATAATTCTAGCTGAAAGTGCCAATGGTGCCAATCATTTATTAGTCTTCCTTTAACATGCATGGTTTCAGAAAGCAATGGTTCAATGATACACAGACAGATAATTATTAGAGTCCTTATGGGCAAGGAGAATATCTCTACTACAAATCTTCTACTATAATTTGCCTAGGCTTTTCCTTTTGATAAGATACACAATTCTTCCAGCATTTTTCTTCTACTAAACGTTTAATCTCATTTCAGAGCTATAACATAGATACCTCTAAAACATAGATACCTTCACTTTAGATCCACATTGGTTTACTGATAAATACAAGATGTCTGTATTCTAAGTAATATGGGAAGTACTGCCCTTTATCATGATGTCAAGTCAAAGTCAACCCATTTTTGTTAAAAAATTTTGAGGAATAAACTTCCTTTTCATGTGAGTGAAAAATCAAATTCCAAAACAGATAAAGTCTGATGAAATATGCAACATAGCAACGTAACCTCCAATTACTCTTTGAGAACATGCACTTTTATTTCTCCATTTTCTACAACAGGTATACATATCAAAACTCTATTATCAGAATCCAACAGTTAATTCCTTTAAAGGCTATGGAACCAAGAAAAATAAGGTATTAAAATCAGAAGTTCAATTAGAAAATTTAACATGAAAAAATCATAATTTTGAGAATAAGAGATTTAATTAGATTTAATTCTCTAAGATTTAATTAGAATTAATTCTGTACATGTTATTTAATTAAAACAATAGCATGTCAATTACAAAAAAGCATATGTAGTCAGTGTTCATAATAATCAGAAAATTAGTAGACTTAGTAATTTTTAAAATTTTATTCTCAACCTCATTTTTTATTCCTTTAATAAAAGACCTCTATGTTGCCTGAGGACTGCTAATATTTTTAAAGATTGTTTTCTGAGGTTGGAAAAAGGCTTAAATTTTGTTTACTCAAATTCAATTAAAATTTTATTTCTAAGTACTGTAGCACTTACAGACTTAGTTGTGAAGTCTTAAAAACTCAAATTTAACTCCTATATTTATTAGGCACATCATTTTCTACAGTATCTATTGATTTCAAGAAATCCTTATAGTGAAAATGAAATGTTGACAAACACACTCTCTGACACTGATGATCAATGTTGAACATCAGCTAATTGATACTCTTAGTCAGCAATAAATACATATGAGGATTTTTAAAACATCACAGCTACCAAAATAATGAGTGCATTTGACCTTTTTTTAGTTTGCATATACTTTATTTTCATTTCATTCTCACAAAAGTCTTATAAAATAAGTAGAACAGGTAGTTGAAAGTTGAGTTTACCAAATAAACAATCAAGATCCAGATAATTTAAATCCCTCTAGTCACAGGTAGTAAAGTGAGGAGTCCTATATTCAAACCTAGAGTTTCTAATAATGGGACCAGTTGGTCTCAGAGTATGGCACTCAACTAACAGAAGCTTTGTCACATCCCAAATCAGTGAAGTGTAATTTCTCCTTCGTCTGGTTGTCCGTGAAGCAGATTTACACAAATCATGTAATCATGTGGGCCCATGCATTAGTAATGGCCAAATCATTCTACCATTGTTTCTTTTTCTTTTTTTGTAAATATTTATTTTTTTGGTTATACTTGGACACAATATCTTTATTTAATTTATTTATTTATATGTGGTGCTGAGGATCGAACCGAGGGCTTCGCACATTCGAGGCGAGTGCTCTACCACTGTGACACAACCCCAGCCCCTCTACCATCGTTTCTAACCCCATAGTGTCTTTTTTTCAATTTTTTTTAAAGCTGTGTTTTTCTTTTTTTGGTAATCAGGTATTGAACTTTTAATTAATCATTCACATATACTATTGTAACACCAACGTATTGGAAAGGTAATCTGCAGCTTTAACAAAGCATGCTTTGAACAAACAAAATCCAAGTAACTTTTTATTTTTACATTTCTAAGTTATAATGACTGATGATATGCTTTGGAAGCTCCAGACACTACAAACAATACAAGGCTGTGGTATATTCTTTGTTTCTAATTGTGTCTCTTACTTTTTATGTAAAAGCTTAATATTTTGTTACTATTTTGTTTATTAAATTGGCCTCTGTTGTAAAGACAAATTTAATGTTAAGTGGTCTAGTTTGAAGTAAAGCTTTAATAACCATAGAAGTAATAATTAACAGTTTTATTCAAAACATTTTTATGTTAAATTGTTTGTTTTTGATTTGGGAGTACCTGCTTTGAGTGCATAGTGGGTACATTTTCAGGCATATCCAATTTACTTGCCTTTAAGACTTCTTCTACTTTAATACTTAATTTAGAAATGTCATTTAAAATGGTTCTTAAAGATCAAATGCACTCATACTGTCATGTGTAACTGATCAGAACAAAGAAGAATATATTTGAACAAATTAAAAAGCAGAAAGCAAGCTTACCAAAGTTCTGGGGCTGGTGTAAGTAGCAGATGCTCCTCTGCTGTCTGCATGTGTGGAAATTCTGGTTGGTGCGTGGGTCCTGGTCACAGATGCTCGTGTCTTGAAGCCAACAGCAATCCTTGTGTGCACGCAGGCCTGTGTGTGAACACGGACAGCAGCTTCCACTTCGAGGGTCCTGAGGGCCATAGGGCACCTCGCTGGGAGATGTACATCAACGAATGTCATTCAGAGCCCTACCAGATATATGTTCCCCGTGATAAACAAAAACTAAATAATTTACAACTAGAATGCCCACACCACACAACATTCTCAACAAAATATTTCATGAGGATGAATTAAAAAAAAAAAAAAAAAAACAGGAAAGGGAGGCTCTACACTAAATAAATAGTCAACCAAACTAGAAACTAAGTCACATTAATAACCAGATATAATTCAAAAAGAGTGGGAACCCAGATCATATCTCAATAATAAACTTGAATATTAACAGCCTGAACTCATCAATCAGAATATGCAGACTGGCAGATTCATTTCATGGGGAAAGACATCCACAGGCTGAGGGTGAAAAGATGGGAAAAAACATCACATTAATTGTGTAAACAAGCTGGGGTTTCCATGCTCATCTCAGATAAAGTAGACTTCAAGCCAAATTTAATTGGAAGAGACAAAGAAGGATATTTCATACTTCTTAAGAGAAGTATATATGAGGAGGACATAACAATTATAAACATTTGTGTCCCAAACAATGGACGTCTGCATGTATCAAACAAATCCTTCTCTATTTCAATAGTAAAATAGACCATAACACAATAATACTGGGTGACTTTAACACACCTCTCTCACTACTAGACAGTCATTCTAAACAAAAACTAAATGAAAAAACTATAGAGGGGCTTGGGTTGTGGCTCCATGGTAGAGCACTTGCCTAGCATGTATGAGGAACTGGGATCAATTCTCAGCACAGCATATAAAATAAAATAAAATAAATAAAGTTCTAAGAAGTAAAAATAAATATTTTTTAAAAAGAAACCATACAATAATACAATCAATAATTTATACTTAATAGAAATATATAGAATATTGTATCCATTAACGAGTAAATATACTTTCTTTTCAGCAGCACTTGTCTTCTTCTCTAAAATAGACCATATCTTACACTGCAAAGCAATTCTTAGTAAATACAAAAAAAGCAAAGAAATTACCCTGCATTCTATCATATTAAAATGGAAGAAATTAGAAATCAGCGCTCAAGTAAAAAACAGAAGCTACTCTACCAAAGGGAGACTACATAATACATTAATTAATGAGGAATGGATAGTCAAATAAATCAAGGAAGAAATAAAAAAAAATTGTTAAAGGTAAATGAGAACGCTGATAAAACATATCAAAATCTCTGGGACACTAGGAAGGCGGTACTAAGAGGAAAGTTTACTGCACTGTGCACGAATAAAGGACCTAACACTACATCTCAAAGCCTGAGAAAAAGAAAAACAAATCAATACCAAAGGCAATAGAAAACAGAAACTAATGAAAATCAGGAAAGGCAGCAGAATACAACAGACACTAGTATGGAAGTATGTATAAACGTGGATGTATAACCAATGTGATTCTGCAATCTGTACACGTGGTAAAAATAAGAATTTATAACCCACTTGAATCAAATGTATGAAATATGATATGTCAAGATCATTGTAGTGTTTTGAGCAACAAATAAAAAAAATAAAATAAAATCAGAGTTGAAATCAATGAACTCTAAAGGAAAAAAAATGAAAAATTGACAAAACACAAAGTTGATTCTTTGAAACAATAAATAAAATACATAAACCCTTGGCCATGCTAACGAAGAGAAAAAGAAAACTAAGATTACTAAAAAAGAAGATGAAGCAGGTAATATCACAACAGACATGTCTAAAATGCTGAAGGAAATTAGAAACTACTTTGACAATTTGTACTCCAAAAAAATAGAAAATATAGAATACATAAACAAATTCCTAGAGTCATAAGACCTATTCAAACTGAATGAGGAGCTCATACACAATTTAAATAGATTAACTGCAAGTAATGAAATAGAAAACACCATCTAAAGCCTACCAACCAGTCTGGGGTTGTGTGGTAGAGTGCTTGCCTGGCATGTGTGAGGCACTGGGTTTGATTATCAGCATCACATAAAAAATAAACTAAATGCATTGTGCCTATCTAAAACTAATGAAAATATATTAAAAAAGCCTACCAACCAAGAAAAGTCCAGGACCAGACATATTCTTTGCTAAATTCAACGAGACTTTCAAAGAAGAATTAATACCATACTCCTCATAGTATTCCATGAAACAGGAAAAGAGGGAAGCCTTCTAAACTCATTCTATGAGACTAACATCACCCTGATACCAAAACCAGACAAAGACCCTTTAAGAAAAGAAAACTTCAGACCAATATCCCTGATGAACATACATGTAAAAATTCTCAATAAAATTCTGACAAATTGCATACAAAAAATATTAAAAACATAGTTCACAATGATCAAGTGGGGTTCATCCCAAGCATCCAAGGTTGGTTTAACATGCAGAAATCAATAAATGTAAATCATCATATGACTAGATTAGAAAACGAGAATCATATGATCTCAATAGATGCAAAAAACAGCATGTGACAAAATACAGCACACTCTCATGTTCAAAACACGAGAAAAATTAGGAATAGTAGAAACATACCTCAACATTGTAAAAGCTATCTATGCTAAACCCAAGGCCAGCATCATTCTAAATGGAGAAAATTTGAAAGCATCCCCTCTAAACACTGGAACAAGACAAGGATGTCCTCTTTCACCACTTCTATTCAACATCATCCTTGAAACTCTAGCCAGAGCAATTGCAAGAAAGAAGTTAAAGGAATACAAGTAGGTATAGAAGAACCCAAACTATCCCTATTTGCTGATGACATGATTCTGTATCTAAAAGATCCAAAAAATTCCACGAGAAAACTTCTGAAACTACCAGACGAATTCAGCAAAGTGGAAGGATGTAAAATCACCACCCATAAATCAAATGCATTCTGATACATCAGTGATGAATCCACTGAATGAGAAATTAGGAAAACTACCCCATTCACAACAGCCTCAAAATAAAATAAAATAAAATACCTGGGAATCAATCAAACAGAAGAGGTGAAATGCCTCTATAATGAAAAGTAGAGAACATTAAAGAAAGTCAAGAAAACTCAGAAGATGGAAAGATCTCCCATGATCCTGGATAGGCACAATTATTATTGTCAAATGTGCTCTACTACCAAAAGCACTATATAGATTTAAAGCAATTTCTATTAAAATCCCAATGACATTCTTCATAGAAATATAAAAAACAACCATGAAATTTATTTGGAAAAATAAGAGACCCAGAATAGGCAAAGCAATCTTTAGCATGAAAAGTAAAGCAGGAGGCATCACCATACCAGACGTAAAACCATAGCACAGAGCTATAGTAACAAAAACAACATGGTATTGGCACCAAAACAGACTTGTAGACCAATGGTACAGAATAGAGGATGTTGGGGTTTTTAGCTTCTTCTATCCACTCCGTCCCACAGAGAGGCTTAGGAGAACAGGCCCCAAACTGGACGAATCAAGAAACGTGAGGGTCGGCAGGTCACCCACCCAGTCCTCCCCACTGGAGGACAATCAGAAGCACCAGGGAGACCAGTCAAAGCAGGATCTCATTTATTGAGGAAGTACACACAGGTAATATAATGTGCAGGAGCCAATCAGGATAAAGGTCAGAGGGGTGGAGCAAGTTCACATGTCATGCCCTACAAGAGGACACAGAGACAAACCCACATAAATACATTATCTCACACTAGACAAAGGTGCCAAAAACTTTCATTGGAGGAAAAAATAGCCTATTCAACCAATACTGCTGGCAAAACTGGGAATTCACATGCAGGAAAATGAAATTAAACCTCTCTCTCTCACACCATGCCCCCAAATCAACCCAAAGTGCATCTAAGACTTAGCCACTAGAACAGAGACCCTGTACCTAACAGAAGAAAAAGTAGAAACAAATCTTCACCATGTCAGCCTAGGATCAGACTTCCGTAACAAGACCCCTGAAGTGCAAGAAGTAAAATTAAGGATCAATAAATGGGATGGATTAAAATAAAAAAGATTCTTATCAGCAAAGGAAACAATAATGTGAGAAGAGAGCCTAGAGACTGGGAGAAAATCTTTACCACAGGTACCTCTCCAAAGCATTGATCTCTAGGATACAGAAAGAACTAAAAAAACACTTAACACCAAGAACACATATAACCCAATCAATAAAGGAGCTAAGGAAATGAATATACACTTCACAGAAGAAGAAGTATAATCGATCAACAAATGTAAGAAAAAGTGTTCAACATCTCTAGCAATTAAAGAAATGCAAATCAAAACTACACTAAGATTCCATGTGGGGGGAAAGGTACACTCATACATTGCTGTTGGGACTGCAAACTGTATAACCACTATGGAAAGCAGTATGGAGAGTATTCTGAAAACATGGAATGGAACCACCATTTGACCCAGCTATCCCACTCCTCGCTTTATACCCAAAGGACATAAAATCAGCATACTGCAGTAATGCAGCCACATCAACGTTTACAGAAGCTCAATTCAAAATAGCTAGATGTCCTTCAATAGATGAATGGATAAAGAAAATCTGAGAATCTTGAATGCTGAGAGGCCCAGCTAACACTGCTGAAGTGACTGCTGAGGTGGCTGCTCTGGCTGATGAAGGATGCCAGCTTCTGTAGATATGGATGGTGCCCCGATTTTGACCTACACCCTCAATGTAGGACCAGCTCTCGCTCAGCTAGCATTTAGGAACACAGAGTGGGGACCCTTTGGGTCTGTCACTGTCTGCAAAGTATGCACTGACTAAGGAGCAAGGTACAGTCTTTTTGCACATGAGGTGCACAGAATGAAAATGGCATGATATTGGCAGCAAAACACATACAGAGACCAATGGTACACAAGAAAGGACACAGAGACAATTTGACAAAAATACAGTTATCTCACACTAGAAAAAGGCACCCAAAATATACACTGGAGAAAAGACAGCCTCATAAACAAGTGGTGCTGGGAAAACTGGAAATCCATACCTACCAAAAAGAAATAAAAAGCCTCTCTCTCATCATGCATAAAAATCAACTCGAAGCGGATCAAAGGTGGAGGCACTAGGTCAGAGACCCTGGGCCTGATCCTAGTACATGTAGGCCCATATTTCCACCATGTCGGCTTAGGAACACACTTTGTTACTCGGACTCCTAAAGTACAAGAAGTGAAACCAAGAATGGATAAATGGGATGGATTCAAACTACAAAGCTTCTTCACAGCAAAGGATACAATCAAGAACGTGAAGAGAGAGCCTACACAACTGGAAAAAAATCTTTACCACATGTACCTCAGATCAAGCATTATTCTCCAGAATACATTAAGAACTCAAGAAACCTAACATTCCTCCATATATCTGGTTTGGTGCCAGTACTGTTTCTAATTCATTCACTATGCTCTTACCCCTTGCATCCCCACTCCCTTCACTCACTTGTGCTTTCTTAGGACTCTCCATAAAGCTTTCTATAGTGCTTGCACAAATGTGCAGTCCCACCAGCAATGTATGTGAGTACCTTTTCCCCCACATCCTCACCACCATTTACTGTCGCTTATATCCTTGACAACTGCCATTCTGACTGGAGAGAGATGGAATCTCAGTGTCATTTTGATTTGCATTTCTATAATGGATACAGATATTGTACGTTTTTAAATTCATATGTTGATCTATTGGGTTTCTTCTTCTGTGAAGTGTCTTTTCATTCCTTTCCAATTTGTTGATTTTTTTGTCTTGGGTGTGGCTGACTTTCAAGTGTAGAATTTTCTGTTACTAAAAACAAATTAACAGCTTTCTCACCACACGTCCAAGACTAGTTATGATAAAGATATAGGGACTTGCTAAGGGGATCCATTCTAGATCTGAATAAGATAATTGTCTGTAGAACGATTTCTCAAATCAGAGCCAAAAGACAATATAATAATTCTGTTAAAACTAAGAAATGTCATAATGCCATTTTTAAGTAGTTGGCCAACTCTGTGTTAGTTTTTATGATGTTGGAAATATACCTTCTTTGGCACATCAATTCCATTCACCAGTTCAGAAAGTGAGTTTAAGCAAAACCAATTAAGAGATCAGTGAAGCTATCGGATATTTTTGGGCACTGATTAAGCATAACTATCATTTAAGTAGATGATATTTAAAATGCTTACTAACAAATTACAGCATTGGAGGCATATTAAAAACAATTTAACTTTAAAAATGAGTACCTAAAAGAATAAGAAAACGCAGTTGCAGGTGCCCTCTGCTCTTTTTTGTAATACAAAGAACTTTGAACTTCTCAATGCAAGAAATTTGAAACAAATAACAGTATCAGAGTTTATATTTTCTACAAGGACTAGAATTGTCAGAGAAATACCTGGATTTTTAATAGAAAAAATAAGGTTAAAGATTGGGCAGGGGAGTGGGTGTTCTTGGAACGAGTTGTTAGCAGGTAATTCTACCTCACTTACCTTTAAGAGATATCAGAAGGAACCACTCTACATTTTCTAATCCTTATGTGCATTCTAATGTATGTGATTTTGTTTCTCATCCTTCCTTCCTCTCCAGATTATTTCTATCTTCTGAAAAACAGCAAAACGAATGAAATGAAAATGTTCTCTGTGGTTTACATAGACAGCAGAAACGGAAAAAGGGTCATATCTATGTGGCATTTTGCAGCCAACAGAGGGAAAGTCAAACCCCCATAAAAGGTGGGGTGAGGGGCTGCTAAGAAGTCAACAGGCAGAATTCTATCAGATTTAGTCACTATCAAGCTCTCATATTACCTGACATGAGATAAAATATTGCATGCGCCCAGGTGCAGGGAGGGATTCAAGTACTAAGGGACAAAAAGACTGACCTGATACCTCCAGAGCTCTCCAATGTCATCAGTCCTTTCAAAGCAAACAGGTTTTCCAAGACTTCATCCAGGCAGCCATTGACAAAACAGAGCCAACAGGCTCCACCCAATCACAGAGATTCTTTTCTTGTTCATGGTCTTCAAGGATCTTCACCTGGCTAGGGCAATGTCACTTTTCCTAAAGAAAGAACAAGAAACAGAAAGTACAAATCTGTCAACACTTCTTAAGAATGACAGCTGCCGTGACACTCAAATAAATGCTGTTAACAAGAGCTGACTGGGGAAGCCAGATGCGGCTGCCCGCTTTAGAAGAAATCCTCTGCACAGGATGGGGAAGCCCTGTGCCTACAAGACCCAGAGCTGAGGAGCACCCTGGTGTCATCTTACTCTCTTTCTAGAAGCACCCATCTGATCCTTCAGCTGCAATATGGAAGTTACTCTGACTTTCTGCCGTAATAAAAGATAGATAAACTACAAAATATAAACAAAGACCCAGGCTTTGTAAGCTTAGGGTATGAGATGGCTTGGGGTTCTCATCAACACAGTGGAAGTGGACGGTAACAGAGAGTTCCTAGGGTTTCAATGTAGGCTGAATCATGAGGAACATTTTGGGTTCGTGTAATTTTATTATTGAGATAACCTACTCCCTATGTGAAAATCTCTCAAAAAGTTAAATTCCAGCATTTGTAAACTCAAAAGCTCCAGGAACTAGCAAGGTGGATTATATAAAAGTTTTCAGGCAGGACAGAGAACAAAAGGTAAAACTGCTGTGACTAATTTGCAAAAGTATTCAATTACAAAGTAAAATTTTAAAAAAACCTGGGCACAGTGGCACATGCTTGTTATCACAGCTACTAAAGAAGCTAAGGCAGCAAGATCATGAATTTAAGCCCAGCTCTTGCAAATTAAACACATTAACCCCTACTCAATAAAGTAGAATAAAATAATATATAAAGGGATGAGGATGTAGCTCAGTAAGAGAGTGCTTTCCTAATATGTGCAAGATCTTGAGTTCAATCCCAGTAAGTATCACAAATGAACAAAAAAGGAAAACAAGAACTGCCCTGTCAAACAAGACACATAGGCAAATTTCAGTGCAGAGCCATCTATGGATCTCTGACCTGTGTCCTCAAAGATTTATTTGAAAATATTTTATTGTGTGACCTTACCTTTAGTATTGAAAGGGAATGACAATTCTCAGAGGTGACTGGGCAACAGTGCTGTAAAACACTTCTTGCTATACTTGAATGTACACTCTCCTTGGTATATCTTCTCAGGCTCTTGGGTTCTCTGGGTTTTACATTTATTAGGTAAATTTAATGCCTCAGAAATATAATTATATCATAGTCAAATGTAGTTTTTCGTTCTTGGAAAATAAAAACCCAAATTGCTTTCAACTCAGTGGAGGGCACTGACTTAATCCTAATCTTAGCCCAAAGGTTTAAGTTTATGTATGCAAGTAGAGTTCACTACACATTTTCCCTTATGGTCACATCTTTTACTCAAGCTTCATATCTGACTCAGTAGATGCTGCCAGCTAGTATTCTATTGTAACCCAGTAAACCAAGATATAGTGGATACCACACACAATCTGTTCACTAACCTGTCCTTCAATCATGCTTATTTGGGTTGGGGTTGAAGATGCTAAGAACTATCAAAGGCATGATTTGATTACTGTTAATGTTACTGGGTTGCTGTTGTTAGAGGACTTACCCTTTTGTAGAGGAATAAAACAGAATTAATGAAAGCATCATGATTGTATGACCTAAGCAAGGAATGAAAAAAGAGTTGTGCTAGACTTCATTCTGGAAGTTAATGCTGACTCACTAGAAAATATTGAACTAGTTTCCTAAATGTTCTGTGTCTTAGTTTGCTCATTGTTAAATGTTCTCTCATTTTTCCCCAAGGTTTTAACAATCACAGGTCCTAGATTTTCAAAATGCTCCAAAAGGCCCTCAAACACTTAATACTTTTTTGTTTGTTTGTTTTGGTACTGAGGATTGAATTCAGGGGAGCTCAATCACTGACTCACATCCCCAGTGTTTTTTGTTTGTTTGTTGTTTTTTTTTTTTTTTTTTTTTGAGAAGCCTCATACTATTTCCATAACTGCTCTACTAATTTACATAAGCATAAGCATATTAATCATTTAAGGAATATTTGTCTACATCTGATAATTTACTTTCTTCAAGGCTGAAGACATCAAGGTCAGAAAAACTAAGATATCTTCTACAGACCGATTTCTTTTACTATGTCCTGTTCCAGGAACCTGGAGTGGTGCCCAGAAGTCTTCAGTCTTTACCCTACTTTTAGCACAGTCAGTCTTGGAGGCAGATCAACCCTGAAGAGATTGCCTTCTCTCAGCAGAAGCAATATAGGCCCATGGGAACTGAATGGGACATCCCAGAATCACAGATCTAATAGATAAGTATCCTATGAAGCAAGTGGAAATTGCCCCTTGAACAGCTGGCAATTTCCTCAACACCAATAACATGTGGTATGATCAGAATTCAAAAAAATCATAAAACACACCACAGTTTGACCAAGACTGCTTATTACACATACTTCTTGTTTCCCACCCCCGTTCTTCCTCTGAAGGTAAAACTCACATCAGTTTCCTGAAAGACAGAATTGAGACACTTGACATCACTTGTCTTCCGAATATAGGTACAATGATTATTAAAGTTTATTTCCTTCTTTCCCCATTGTATTCTCCATTTGGTTTTTGGGGCAAGTGGTCAATTCTGATTTTTGTGGACCCACAGAGTTAGGCCTCTAGCCTAGGACTTAGGTAACAGGAAAGGTGCTGGGCAAAATCAATGAAGCCCTATGATGTGACACTGTTCTACTGTCTTAGCATTGATCTTAGCATTGCACTGCCTTAGCAGTGATCACTACCTGATTGTTATCTATTGCCTATCTTTTTCTTTTAAAATATAAGCTCCATGAGATTAGAAGCCTCTATCTGCAGTAGCGTAAGGAGTGATTGGCACATAAAGTAGGTGGCTCAATCAGTATTCATGAAGACTCAAAACACAATATTAGCTTCATAAAAACACGCTTTGTTGGAGTTTCTATGAAAAAAACAACCCAAACTCAATTTTTTTGTAGTTCAGAATGAATTCACTGAAGGGGGGCACACTTCTAAAATGGAAGCACCAGGATTAACTTACATGGAAATAATATTCTGATGATGTTACTTAGAAAATAATACAACTTCTGTTCTCTGTTTTGCTGATTACCATTCTAAGTTCCCGCATACATGACCTACTAATAAAGTTGTTGTGTTATATAAGAAAATATGTATAGACTCCTTAGGGTAGCACATAGAAATACAAAGTAAATGCTTCTATTTTGTTATTATTATAATATTTGTGTTAGTGGTATACTACATCATGAAATCACTCAAAACTGACGTTGAGTCACCCTTAACACATTGGTTCCACCTACTCCCCATAGTTTCCTTGAAACATCCTTGGGGGCATTCAGTCTTTGGTCATTTCAACTCACTAATATTCAGAGGCTTTCACTTGGCCTACAGCTAACAGGGAAAGGTCAGGGGATTTCAGGGTCTAACCCAATTCATCACTAGAGTCAACAGAATTGAGCTGACTCCTGAGAACAGAGTAGCCATTCCAGGACTCCACCCAAGAATTCCCAGACTCACCTGGAGGATGACACCCAGCTGCAGCTCCCAGCAGAAGTCCTCTCAGCAGGCGCCCCCTAGCAGCTGCGTGGCACTCCCAGGATCCTGCGCTGAGCTCCCAGGGTCCTCCATGGCGCTGCCACCGTCCTCTGCAGCATACAGGAGAGGCTGTGTACCCAGGCTGCGCGGGGCGGAGGCTCTCGCAGCCACAGGGAGGGCGACCTGTTGGGCTTCTTACCAGCTCTCCAGGTGAGCGGCAGACCCTCAGAGGTACGGACGCCGGCACAGGAACAGGACTCACAGCAGTAGGGCTTGAAAAGTGAGAAGTCACCTGGTGAAGGACCGCCCAGAAGCCAACTCGTGGGAACTGCCCTTTGGGGCGGGTCTTGAGGGCTGTCTTCCCCGCAGGCGCCTGGGCCTTCCGGGGTCCTGGAGAGTGCGGAGCACGTGCGTGTGCGTGGAGGGCGGAGCTAGGCCTGGGCCACATCCGGGGTAGGCAGGCAGGTGGGCGGGGAAACTTGCAAATTTGGGCGGGAAGCACAAGGCTTCAGAACCAGCAGGGTGTGATGCCCCAGGGTGTGCGATGGCACTTTTAAGTTCCCATCCTTTGCAGGCCTCGCCCCCGTGGTTTTATCAGTTGCTTCAGTCAAACTCTGAAAACTCATCTCCCCCTTTGGATTTCTTCTTCGTTGACTGTGTATGCGCAGTTGGTGGTTTGTCACTGGTTAATTCTCCCTCAAAGGTGTGTTTTGACAAATGCAAATAAGCAGATGTCTGTGTGTTCATTACCACGTGTGGTCGATTTTAGGTCCATCTGCCCTCCTCTGGGGTCTTCTAAGTCTGGACAGTGCTAGGAGCGACCCTCTGCGCCCACCCTCCACTCAGCGTCTCCCAGCCTCCTCCATCTTATCTATCAGACACAGAAGGTAGTGGTGCAGCAACTGAGTGACAGAATCGCGCTTAATAATAATATCTTTGGAGCTGGGGTTGTGGCTCAGTGGTAGAGCGCTTGCCTGGCATGTGTGAGGCACTGTGTTCGATTCTCAGCACCAAGATACAGGCCCATTAAAAAAAATATTTTAAAAAATAATAATATAGTCATTTATTTATCATTTTATTGAAATGCTAGTGAGAGCATACTGTTGGGTGTTGGACACAAAACAAATATGGGCCCTGTCCACCGAGTTTCTAGACTAGTGAGCCAGTGCTTTTCAAAGTATAAAATCAAGCATTCATTAAGCTCATACTTATGTGGTAAATACCAGGGAAGTGTGAGGTTTTCTTGTTCTCTGAAGGAAACAAAAGTTGCAGTTCTGTGTTTCCCTTAGAAGAGTGATGGGACGCAGAGGAATGGAGAGGGTGAATATATGTAGAGTACAAGTCTGGAAGAGTGGATATCCAATCTAAGTATGAATTTATGTACTAGCCTTTGTGTGTTCAGCATATCTCGACTGATGTTGATATGTTTAATTGCATGCTTGTCAACAGTGTGTTCACATTGATATTCAGCTGCAGATAATCTATCAGGAAAAACCTACAGGTGGACATGAGTTATTTTAGGGAAAATAAGTAGACAATAGGTTTCAAGTTTGAGAGGATGGGATCAGATGAGCAAAAGCAGAAGTGGGGGTGTTTGTAAACTTGTATGAAAGTAGCCATTTTTAAATTTGTGAATGCACAAATAAATATGCATATATAATATATATGCAAATATATTTGTGACAATTGAATATATAGGTCTTATTACACGTGTATATTCACAATTTTATGTATGCTTTATATTAATGTAGATTCAGGTATACAGTTATATTTAGGTTTAGTGTTAAATTTTCTGTAGGGTAAGGGTTAGGGTTAGTAAAAAAATGCATATGGAAAACCAAGAATACTAATTAGAATAACCCATGAATACATGTATGAAAATATAAATAAATATGTTTTGAAAAAGGGAAGGTTTTATTTTTTATTATTTAAAAAAAACTTTAGTTGTTGATAGACCTTTATTTTATTTATGTATATACAGTGCCGAGAATCGAACCCAGTGCCTCACACATGCCAGTAAAGTGCACTACCATTGAGCCACAGTAACAGCCCTGAACTGAGAAAGGTTTTAATGTGACACATATGAATACAGATTTTTAAAACTAGGACTGCACAGATTAATTATATATATATGAATATATACTCATACATATTCAAATATACAATTGATAATTGTATACATAACTATTTACAAATGGATATTAAAATCTATATATGCATTTATTTTAAGGTAGGTTTAGGTATGCAAATAAATATATGGTTAGTATTGATTTCAAATTTTTGTGTACATTTAGGTTGATTTTTAAGGAATAAATATATTCATTGAAAACATGAATATACCTAGGAATGTACATAGTAACATTTGCATAAAAAATAATATAAATATATGTTTTGAAATGGGGAAGGGTTAATATGAGACAAAAATACAAATTTTTAATATGCAAATTCAAAGATAAATTTTATATATGAAATATAATAACACTTCTGCAAATATAACATTGATGTGTATGTAAGTATAAATATATATGCATATTCATATAAGGATATATGCTTTTATCTGAATGTAGGTTAGTTACAGGGGTAAAACTATGGTTAGTACTAAATTTGGTATATAGTTAGGGAATAAATATTTATACTGAAAAATATGAATGTTTTAAGAAAGTGCATGTGCAATTTTGACGTTTTGAAACTGGGAAGGGTTTAATGTGAGATGTAGGAAGACACATTTTTAATTTGTGAAAGCAAATATATATATATGCAAATATACCATTGATAACTGAATGCAAGTCAAAATACAAATAAACATTAGGAAAAGAATAGGTATATTGAAAAACATGAATAATCATAAGAATATACATGTAAAAATTTGCAATACACAGAAATATATGTGTTTTGAAATAGGAAAAGGTGTGAGATGTATAAATACACATTTATTAACTTCCAAATGCACAGATAAATTACATGTGAACATATATAAATACTTATGTATATGATTATCAATTGCATATTTGAATATAAGTATGTGAGAATATTCATATTACTATATATGCTTTTGTATTAATGTAGGTTTAGGAATGGGGTAAATTTAGGGTTACTATTAAATATTGTGTAGTGTAAGGGTTAGAGTTAGGGTATGAATATATATATATATATATCAAAAAACATGAATATTCAAAAATATGCATGTGAAAATACGTATAAAACATATACAAAAAATAAACAGGGACCTATTAAAAAAACATTATATGGAGAAATGTTGACAATAACTAAAGGAAATCAACTGCCTTATATACAGTTGGAAACACTGTCTATAATTAATAGGAAAAGTACAAGGGGAAAAAAGTTTATCTCAGGTATTTTGAAGCAGTGAAGGCAAGATAACAAATGCAATCATAAAGCAAGACTCAAAATTTCCTCAAGGATTTATTGAGAATAGATAATTTGAACATAAAATTAAATTTTCAGTCAACAATAAAAAAATAATTCAAAGGTCACCAGAAGTTTCAAATAAAGCAAAGACTTTTTATAAAAAAAAATATATATATATATATATATATATATATATATATATATATGGTAAAGAAAAGCATTATAAGGAAAATTGGAAATGCTTTTGAGCTGACAGATAACAAAGATTCAACAAACCAAAAGCAATAGAAGGCCGATGAAGTAGTTCATAAAGAAGTGCTTCTAATTCCACCTGCTTACATTAGAAAAAGACACAGGGATAAAATTGGTGTTGACTCTGATCATGCAACTTGAGAAGCACTAATAATAATTCATTTCTAATAATAATTAAGAATTTGCTTAGAGTAGATTCGTACATGGAGTCCAGGGCCAGTGGATGTTGCATATACCAATGTGCGATCACAAAGAGTATAGCACCATAGCAGGCAAATGTGCAAGTGGCCAGGAGCTGAATGGAGTCTTGAAGATGTGCACAGGTCAGCTGAAGATCTTGACTTTGTTGTCACTGAGAGGCAGGATGGGGTAGGAAGAGAAAGGAAGGGAAAGGACTATTTCTTAGTTATTCATGCTATCAAACTTCCTCCAAGAAAAAGTGGAGGCAGTGCACAGAGCTCTGGCAGTGCTGGGGTAAGAACGGCAATGAGCAGGCTGCAGCCCAAGGTGCAGGAGCAGCAAAACACGTTTGAGGCAATGACAGGGGTGAGCCAGTGTTTCTCTGCCTTCAACACACACTTGCACTGCCACCCCCTTGTCAGAGCACAGCATGTGCAAGGCACCTGAGGCTGCTAGAGCTGCTATGTAACCTGAAGGCTGCAGGAGGAAGAGGACCCAATAGGGGTCTGGCCGCCCAAGCCTCTGGGGACCAAGTTGGCGGTCACTTCTGAAGGCTCCCTCTCTAGCCCTTCTTTGCCCATTCCTGTTGCCTGGCTGGCCTGGGTGACTATCTATCGCCCCAGTTCCTACACTCCATGGTGACGATTGATTAACTGGGAGAGATGGACTGCAGTGTGCTCAAAAAGCCTATGAAGCTGAGCGAGAACCCCTAAGGCAGAGACTGTAGCTGTGGCAGCGGCAGAAGCAAAGAGGTTGGGAGGTGGTGGTTGCCCTGGGTTGCGGGGCTGGGTGCAGACTGCAGTGCCTGGCGGCAGCTGGGCTGACAACAGTGGCAGCCCCCGAACTCTGGGGCTGGGGAGTGCCAGCAAGCGCTTGCTGCTCGACTTTTTGCACACCTTTCCTATCAGAGGTTCTGTCCACCTTCTTTGATACAACACCCAGGAAAATAGGTAGGCCAAGGGCTCCAAGATCCTGGAGTCCATCCTGCACGCTCAGGGGGAAGTGCTCCCTCTTGTGCTCTAGCCTCTACTTGGCTGTCATCCTCTACTTTGAGTGGAGCCCAGGTGCCAGGGGCTCAGGGAGGACCTCACCTTGACTCTAGTAGTGCAGACACTCCATCCTAAGCCCCAGTGAAGCGACATCCGCTTGCTGAAACGTGGCTGTGAGAAGTTTTTCTTTGCTTACCCAGAATTCTGTTCCAAAACCAGCGCCCCGGCAGACTTCTCCCCAGTGCCATGGAGTCCTTTCACCTGCATTGCAGCTCCACTGGAGCCGCTCTGCACAGGCGGCGGGGTCCCTTGGAGATTCTTCAGTTCCTCTACTTCCATGGTGCCTTCCACGCTGCCTGGAGAGACATGCTGAACGCCCTAGGGATCACAGCCCTGTTGAATGTCTCCTCCAAATGCCCAAACCACATGGAAGGATGCTACCAGTACAAACACATCTGGTGGAAGACAACCACAATTCCGACATGGGCTCCTGGTTCATGGAAGCCATGGAGTAGGACTGTGCGGTGAAGGACTGCCGTGGTCCAGGGATGGCGCACTGCTAGGAGGGCATCGTGTGCTCTG